ACGATCACGTCGCGGCCTTTCAACAGGCCCGCCAGAGAAGATCCAACGGGGACCGCAGGATGGATCTTCTCGGCTTCCGAGTCACTATGGAAGATCAGTCCGACGCCTGAAGTTCTATCCTTGAACGGTAAGAGTATGATTCGAGGCTCTTGATTGGATTTCAAACCGTCAGGAGCCCGCCCAGCCTTGCTGTCTCTTCTCACCTTTGGGCTGGCTCAGGAAAGACGGTTCTTCGATAGGTCATGGTTCGACACCTTGGTCCAGGGGTAATACCAAACGAGTTCTTATGTCGCTACAGCGCAGCCGTGGTCGACCACCTTTTCGGACAGGGAAACAACCGTTCACGTGTAATGATGTACTTCGTGCGTTCCGACGACCCGGCTTCGATGGGTGCTGAAACTATCCTGAGGTTCCTCATACGTCAGAACCTCCTGCCCGAGTCTCCATCGGAAGAGATGACCGACTGCCTCGTCGATGCGGTGAAGTCACTCTACTATACCGGGGCCCTCAATGCATTGCTGGAAAGGAGCTTCATCTCCCAATGCCATGTTTTCATCATTATAGACGCCCTAAACTAGCTCCCAAACAGCGATCGGAGGGTCTTGATGGAAGCATTCACGTTACTAATGGGGTTTCCATCCGTCAATCTAAAGCTCTTTATATCCACCGGGAGCAAGAGACAAGGCCTATAGCACCTGCGGTAGAAACGGCCGAAAGAGGTTTATGGGCTATCCACAAAGGTCGCTGTAGCCACTCGCGATGGTGACATCTACATGAGGGACATCCTTGGAGCAAGAATCTCTGGCGGCCGTATAAGCTTCCAGGACCCTGCGATCGTTAGAAGAGACACGGCTGGGATCATGCGAGGGGGCACAAGGGATGCATGGTAGTTCTCATCATTATCTGGACCAAGGTCGAGGCCCGCTCCTCGCCAGGCTTCCGTGGGTAGTCTTTGAAATTCAGGACGTCTGTGTTACCAGTGTGGCGACGAGGCCATCAAGACAGTCCTACGAGACCTACCCAAGAACTTGACAGAGCATTTCGACCGCTCCTTGCAAGAGATGCCAACTGGAACCCCGCGGGTGAGTGGGAGTGAGCGGCATCCAAAGGCAGTGCCGCGCGCCATGCGGGCCAATGGACCACTACAGAGGGAACGTGTTCGTTACGCAGACTGAGACCCGATTATAGGGCAGCCGGGAGTTCCACAGACCCCAGGGATTGGGCCATGTGCCGTGGTATGAAACGAGCAGGCGATGATTAATCCTGTCATGGGTACATGACCTGACTTTCGGCAACTACTGATTGCACAAAGATCTCGGCACATCTGGGGGGGAGTTCACAAGGTTCCCGTCTCTGGCTGACCAAGTACGGACATGGAATACAATGGCAGCGCTGTATCCCGGACGACCAGAAAGCCCGAGAGACCCGCAGACTTTGGCATTGAGCTACATCATTGCTGGAAGTGACGGCGAGTCTGGTTCGCTATGCATGCGCACGCCAGAGATATTTAAACCGATTATTATTAAGATATGGTCTGATACACCGGTATCTACACCTGGTGATCCAACGATCTGCTCATGGTCTGTCGTCTGTGTGATTAAGTGTATGTATATGTACAGCCCGGATGCCGTCCTGACAGAGGACCCGGGAAGGGGGATCCAAGCCCCTTTATTTTCTCTTCGTTGGTTCATTTCCTCATCACACCAACGCCTCTTGCTCATGTCTAATAACCCGCTTTTCCAAGAATCTAGCACATATACTTTTATTCTAGTTCAGCTCACGCCACATGACGGGCAGAAACACGACACTCGCCCTCCAGAGAATCAGGATGCCGTCAATGAGCGCCAGAGGCGCCTTGAGGAAGCCAAAGAGGCTACCGCTCATGAGGTCGAGAGCGTTGATCCAAATGGCGAGGAAGGCGACGCTGAAGAAGTGGTACGCGAGCTTGGACGGCTGGTGCATAATCCCGCCCATCAGAGCCATGGGCTCCGATGCGTGACCGCGCCGAAAGTACTCGAAACAGCCCATCTGCAGGGCGCGCAGCTGGCGGTCGTTGGCCGCGAACAGGGCGTACAGGGCCATGGCCAGCACGTTGATGATGGAAGTCAGGCTCTTGCGGCGCCAGTGGAACTCGCGGAGCGCGTTCTTGATGGCGACGGGGTCGGCGAGGTCAGTCACGCGCGAGGGGTGGAGCAGATCGGAGAGAATGACGCAGTCATTGAAGGCAACAGTCATGCCACCACCCGTCAGGGGGTGACGCATGTTGAGGGCGTCACCGAGTAGGAGCATGCCGTTTACAGTCTGGTGGGAGGGGGGCAGGTACGAGTTTGGCATAGAGGGCGGGATCTTGCCATTGGCCAGTGCAGCCTCGAAGCACGGCTGCATCTGGGGAGGCAACGTCGGCATGACAACGTTCTTGATGTAGCCGCGGACGCCGCCGGCGGCGGGCGAGGCCTCGGGGATGTTGGTGGGGACGTCGATGAGGGCGCGGGTCTCGTGGGTGCCAATCTGGTACATGAGGACCGGGAAAGCCTTGCCGATGACGACGTGGCCGAAGCCAGGCGAGGGCATGGGGGCGTCGATGAGCTCAAGGGCGTAGAACTTGGACTTGACGACGGGGGCCTGGGGGATGCACTCCTTGCGGAACTTGGAGGCGTAACCGTCGGCGATGATGGTCAGCTGGCCAAAGAAGAAGTCGTCCTTCTTCTGGCCCGTCGCGGGGTCCGTCGTCTTGGACCTGACGCCCAGGACCGTGTCTTTGTCATCACCGCGTATCGTTGCCGTCACCTCGGTCTCGAAGATAGTGATGTTCTTCTGCTTCTGGCAGGCCTTGCGGAGGTTCATGATGAAGCGGCCGTGGTGGAAACTCCGGCCCTCCTTCTGCTTCGTGCTCGAGGACGTCGTCTCGTTGTTGGCGGAGGGGTGGATCATGCGGCCGTTGTCGTCGAAGGAGGGGTAGGGGACGTCGACACCCTGGCCGTGGTAGCTGACTTTGTAGCCGTAGCAGGGCACAGAGTCGATGCCCTCGAGGGCGTCGGCCAAGCCCAGTTGGCGCAGGGCGACGATGCCGCCGGGCTGTAGAAGTTCACCGACGATGCGATTGGGCTCCTTCATCCATCTTTCGAGCAAGATGACGCTTCTTCCCTGCTGGGCCAAAGCGTAGGCAATGGCGGTGCCAAAGACGCCGGCGCCTACAACGACGACATCGGCCTCGTGGTACTTGCTGCGGCGCTCGGCGCGAGCGTCGGCGGCTGCTGTCGAGCTTTCTATCATTTCAATCCGACTTGGAGGGGTTGTCTGACGGGATTGTTTTACTGTTGAAGCGAGTGACGAGGGGGCCGTCTTGGTCTGTCGCCGAACGAGGTGGTGGGGAGGAATGCCTCGATGCTTAGGCGCTGCACAATGCTGTCGTCGAAGGAGAGGGGAAGGAAGTGAGATCAGGCGCCGTTATCGACTTTTAAGAGAGATGAGTGGCTAGGAGGAAGGCGGTTAATTAGGTGGTTAGACCTGTCGTTCGTCCCGTCTCGAACGATACGCAGGAATAGTGGTGTTGCAGCAGCAGATCAATGGAAGGATAAAATAAAACAAAAAAGCGCCATGAGTGGACAATTTACTTTATTGCAAGGCCCCTTGTACAACACCATGGGCGACTTGGTCAGGGGTAACTGTTGGGTAGGTTCTTCGTGAACTGGCAGACAGGAGGGTAGGTAGGTAGGTAGGTAGGTAGTTTGCACTACACTACACTACCTACCTAACAGGTACCTACACTATTCTCGAGTCCACCCGCCAGTACTTACTATTACGTGTGATCAAGCACGTTCCTTGATGTACACAATCCCCCCCCCGAGAAACATCTTGCTTTGGCGGCGTATCTAGACTCGCAGAGGATCTAGAAAAATTACAGGAGGCGATCTCGACAACAAAGTCGACCCATAGCGGCTCCCGTCGTTGCAATCGGGCCAATCGTCGCGCTCCAATCGGTACCCACACACCGCCCATTTCACGTGTCGAACCACGGTCATGCGTAATGGATTTTCTGGCCTCGCTTCCAACTGAGTCCCTGACTCTTCCTTTCCGTTTTTATTTGACAGGCAACGCACGGATGGATACCTACCGGTACTTGCAATGCTAGGTAGTAAAACTGGACCCCCCAGATCTGCCCCTGCGTCTTGGGAGCTGCTGTCCGTCCCAGGCTAGATCCAAATCAAGAAACAACAGAGTGAGCTGACGTGCCCCCATTGAAGCAAGCCGTTCGAACGTCTGACCACCCGGCCACTCAGGTCAGCCGGATTTGCACCTCGTCACCTATAGCATCCCCTTCGTGGTAGCTGTCACTAGATGTTGGCTGACACGACCCATACCGAAGGGTGGGTTTGGGGAGACTTGTGCAAAAAAAGGGGCCTTGCTGGTGCCGTTTCCCCAATACCCCGGTAGCCAATCACGACGACTCTCCGCGTCAGGCCACCAACCATATAGGTAGGTCTCTTTCTAGAATATCTAGGTACGTGGACTTACACTCTGTCTGCCTCATTGCACGCCTTGAGTGTATCCCGCATCTATCCGACAAATCAGACACAACCCACATCAGGCCACTTGCCGTTTCTGGACGTGCTGAGAGCGTGCTCGACCCGATGTTATAGATACCGGACAACCCAAATCCTGAGGCTCTTGCACCTACACGTCCCAACACTCGTGACCTCCTGCCAGGTCCATGCCATGATATATCTTCAACCAAGGAAGGCATCGAGTCTGCCTGCGGGACTGTTAGCTCAGGCGGGCTCCCCTGCGTCACATGTAAATATACGTTAACAGAGACTTCGTCGTCACGAGAGAGTCGTAAACGTAGAAGCCATTTGGGAAGCTCGGCACCGAGGAGTATAGAGACACCCGGAGGTTGAGGCTTTCTGTATCTGGTGCCATGCTAGCCTCGCTGCCTTTTGTTAAAAGCACTTGTTACTCGGTTCCATGATGATTGTCTTAAGTCAATATGGGACACGTTTCTATTTCTGGTTCTGGTGCTTCATGAACTGCTTCGACCACTTGTCGTACCCGTCGAGCATCTGCTGCGTGATGCCCTTGGGCACCAACTGGATGGCCTGCACGATGTCCTCCATGCAAACCCGCGCCTGCTCCCTCTCCTCGCCGGCCATCGTCCTGTTCAGCGCCTTGCTCAGCGCCGGCTCCGTCGCGACGTTGACGATCTGCTTGATCTCGGCGCCCGAGAAGCCCTCTGACAGCCGCGAGAGCTCCGCGACGTCGATGTCGGGCGCCAGCGGGAGCTTACGCAGGTACAGGTTGAAGACGGCCTCCCGCCCGGCGGCGTCCGGCGGCCCCACGTACACGATGCGGTCGAACCGGCCGGGGCGGAGGAGGGCCGGGTCCATGGCCTCCGGTCGGTTGGTCGCCGCGAGGATCAGCACCCCGGACAGCGCCTCGAAGCCGTCCATCTCGGTGAGGAGCGTCGTGAGCATGTTGACGGACCCCTGGCTCTTTGCGGCGGCGGCGGCGCCGCCGCCCGCTCCGCTTGCGCGCTGGCCGCCGATGGAGTCGATCTCGTCGAAGAAGATGATGCTGGGGCTCGCCGCGCGCGCGCGCTCGAACAGCTGGCGCACCGCGCGCTCCGACTCGCCCACGTACATGTTGAGCAGCTCGGCGCCCTTGACGGCGAAGAAGTTGAAGCCCGACTCGGTCGCCATGGCCTGTGCGGACAGCGTCTTGGAGCAGCCCGGCGGGCCGTAGAGGAGGAGACCCTTGGGCGGCGTCAGGATGAGCTTCTGCACGCTGGGGTCGTTGGTCGTCGTGAGCGTGATCATGTTGCGCAGGGCGCTCTTGAGGCTCTCCTGGCCGCCGACGTCTTGCCAATGAATCGTGGGCGGCTTGAGGTTTACGTCATGCATGGCCGTCGGCCTCGTGGAGCGCAGTGCCTGCTCCAGGTCCTCTCGCGAGAGATACGGCGTCCCCATCGCCTCCTCGTCGTACCCCGTTTCGTTGGGGTCCAGCCGCTCTGCTGAAATCATCATCGAGTTCTCGATGAGCCTGTCGAGATCGCTTGCATTGAACGCGTGTGTCTGCTGTGCCAGCTTGTCCAGCATGGCGTCCTTGATCTCTGGTTGGATAGGGATGTCGAATGACTTGAGGATCTCCAGTCGACCCTCGGCGTTGGGTATGGAAAGGGCTATGTTCCGCTCTAACCTCGTCCTTTTCTGCAGCTCCGGGGGCACGTCGGTCATGTAGTCCAGACAAGTGGCGACGACAACCACCTTGGGCAGGGTGCCGTTTTTCAGGGCGTCCTCGGCCAGCTGGTCGAGCTGCTGTCCTAGTCTTTGGATGATGGCCGTGGAGTTCGCCCTGTCCTTCCCGATCAGCGCCTGCAGACCGTCGATGAGAATGATGCTGGGCTGTGTCGTCCGCGCCTGCTTGAAGACCTCCTCGACGGTGGACGATTTGTCGTTCTCCTCGATCCGGAAGACTCTGCCCCAGCCCGTGGCCGCTATCCGGCTCAGAATATACGACTTGCCGGTGCCGCGGCCGCCGTGGATGACGATGCCGCACGACTTCTGCTGACCCTTGTAGACCAAGTTGGTGTTGAAGCCGCGGAAGAAGCTCCTCAGCTTCTGCTCCTCGGCGTGTAGGCCCGGGATATTGGAGACGACGAGCCGTTTCACATCCCGGACGACCTCCTGGACGGGCTCCTCCTCCTCGCTGGAAACGATGCGCGTTACTGTTGACACAACATAGCGGGCGACGTTGTCGGTTTGGCCGTCGACGGTTGTGATTCTGAAGGTTTGCTTCACCCCCGACGCCACACACTCGAACTTCATGCCGGGGAACACTTGCTCGGCGCGTGCTGTACAATGTCAGTATTATTCAGAGCGCGAACCGGGGGCCACGAGCGTCGCAAATGCGCATCGTGAATCGGTATAGGCTTGGTAGGACGGACCGAGATAGAACCGAATCACTCCGATCCACGCGCCCTCCCACGCACTGATCTCTGCCTTCTCCCTCTCCGACGTGGTCATAGGCAGAATGTTTACCGTCTCGGCGTCGGGGACGGCGAACTTCTCACACATGGTGATTGTGACATGATCGCCCAGATCGAATCCGCAGGCTTCGCGGTACGCCTCGCTCATGAGGATGATGTTAGGGCTGATGTTCTTGTCAGACAGGGTCCAGAGCGCCGCCTCGCGGCGCAGCTCCGCCGCGGACTTGGTCGCATCTTGAGCGGCGGTCCTTGTCACGACGCAGCGGCGGCCGTTGTCGATACTGCCCGTGAGCTGGATGAGAGCGTCCCGGTTGACGTAGATACGCGATGCGCCCTTTAGGGTCGCCTTTTCGAGCGTCTTGTCGAAGGGTGCGAGGGGACGGACCTTGCCGTCGATGGTCTTGGCCATCTTTTCTATCGTTATTGTCGTTGTCTTCGTCGGTATATTCGTCTCTTTGGCGTGTTGCTGTTTCTTGCCAATGGTGTAGGGCCAGACCGGGGTATGACATGAAGAAAACCCTGCTATAAGAGATCGGGGAACGATGAGTTTTCTGTAGGTGTGCACAGCGATCACACCGGTCTTGGCTCACAGTTTCTCACCAGAGGCCTCGGTCTGATAAATTAGATCTGAACAGTTTCTGCAATTTTATTTTTATTCTTACACAACTTCCCCCGTTTTGTGGTTAAAGCTGTTGTTCCCGGGCGAATGAACCAAAACCCATCAGCTCGTGTAAGTGCTCGCTCGCTCATCCAAAGAAGTGACCTGTGAAAAATTCAAACAGGCGGACAGCTAACGTTAGGCTTATTGTACCTCTATCCTAAGAGGGACTTGACTTCTATGGCTTAGCAGGCATAGAAACACAGTGAGGGTATCATGCCTGATACACAACATTATGTGAGGTTCAAACAGAAATACTATGGAGGTATCTGGGTATATCTATCCTATTGACTGCTGGTGACTATGTTTCTACCACAATATTGTGTACCTGTGCGACCCTATGACGGACAGCCTTGGATCAGTACCTTAGTGAAAAATTCAAAGTCCCCCCTAAACAATTTTCCTTCCAGCACCGGCCCCACCCCAGCTCGGGTACGGGGGTACCTCCTGCAAGTGTCCAACGTCCCATCGCCGGGGCCGCCAGCGAAGAAAGCCCGTCAAGCCAAGCTCCGACCTCGTCCCTCACGAACCTTGATTTGACGAATAACTCTCCCGCTCCTTCACCAAACTCCCACGACGACAATTCAGAGCCAATAACGAACGACGCGCCGCCCGTCCGCCGCGACACAGCTTCCCTCCGGGCCCCATGCAATGGGCTGACCTCCGAGGGCTGAGCAGCTCGACCCGAAGAGGAGTTGCCCGGATGACCACGACCGCCGCCCGCCAACGGCTACCGCTGTTGCTCCCGCCGCGCTTACCGACGCAGCGATGGCGCAATAGGGCCCGAATCGCCGGCGAGGTGCGGCCCTTCTCCGCGGCAGCGGGCCGGAGGACCGACAAGCCCTCGCGGACGCAGCCGAGGCCGAAGCCCCCCTCCCTGTTCGAGGAGCTATTCCCGGATGAGGACCCCTGGGCACTATCGACGCGCGGGGGTAATGGCCAGCACCAACGGGGAGCCCCGAACCCATCGAGCAAGGACGAGGGGGGCGGGAAAGTCAAGGTCCGCTACCTGACGTCCACGGACACCGGGAAACCCGACACGACAGAGTACCAGCAGAAGGTGCTCAAGTACAAGCAGAAACCCAGACAAGCCGAGCACCACGCGTCGTCCGCAGCCATCGTCGACCTCCTCGAGTCGCGGGCGCGCGCGAAGAAGGACCGGCCGAAGGCGGCAGGAGGAGAGAGCCCCTCACTCTTCAACGAGCTCTTCTCGAACCGCGATCTCGGACCAGTGGCGTCGGGGGGGACATCAGGGCGAGCAGAAGCCGAGCAACACCTCTCCGAGGACCGGCACGTCAACCACGACGACCTCCAGTCCTGGCTCGACTCTCTCCCCAAGGGCGACGCCGATACCGCCGCCGACGCAGCCACCACGGCGATGTCCTCGACCACCCGCCCCGCCATGCTCGTCCTCTCCAACGCCAGCCCAAACCTCCAGGAGAGCGACTTCTACCGCATCGGCCCCCAGGGCCACCACCTCGACGGCTGGTCCTCCTCCATCCGCAAGGTGATGCAGGCGTACGACTACAGCACCCTCGAGCCCATGAATCGCTACTTCATCCTCTTCGACTCGTACGCCGCCGCCGAGTCCTACCAGAAGGAGGCGCAGCGCCGCCACGCCGCCGCCCGCCGCTCCCTCCTGTCCGCCACGGCTCCCCTGGCTTCCTCCTCCCGCGCCGTGGAGGGCGGCTCGGCGCCTTCTCCCTCAATCTTCACCCTCGCGCCGCCGTCCAGGGCGCCCCTGAGCCTGCACCTCTACAAGCTTGACCGCGCGACCGAGGCCCGCCTCGGCACTTTCAGCGTCCAGGGCCTGCTGAGCATGACGCCCGAGCCCCCCCCGCGCGCAAACTCCCACGTCATCCTCTGCGTCGACGGCGGCACCGTCGACCAGCGCATGCTGACCCACTGGCTCCGCCGCGACGGGCGCGAGCGGAACCTCGGCTGGCCAGTACAGCACATGCGCCCTTACTTCGCGCCCAAGGTCGACGACCGCACCGTCGCGCCTGACGAGGCCCAAGAGGTCGACGACGAGCCCGGCTGGCGGGACGGCGACGGCGACGATGACGCGCCGCCGCCGCTGGTCGACTCTGAGGGAAAGCGGAAGGGCGGCGGGCCCGACGAGAACGCCATGTCGGCTCGCTTCGTGCTGTCGTTCCCGGACGTGCACGAGGCGCGGCGTTTCGTCCGCGCGTGGCACCGGAGGGAGTTTGTGCTGACCAACGGTTCGACCGTTGTGTTGAACACCTACGTCGTATGGTGACTCACTGAGCGGCCACGCCGGCCCATACTGTACTATATTGGCTCCAAGGATGTGCCTCATAGAGCAGCTTCTTCACCAAAATCACCTGTAAGAATAACATGTAGGGGTACCCTATCAGCCTTGTATCAGAGGCCTAGGCCTCACCATTGGCCTCGGACGAAGATGAAGGGGAGAGGGGAGGAGGATAAAAGATGTATTATAAAACCCAGAAATAGAACCCGAAACTCCAGGCCAGATATTTGCTCTCGTCGGGGAAAGGCGTTATCGGCAAGAAACCACATGACAACGACCACACAGTGCTCTCTTTCTGTTTAAGGGGAGAACCGTAGAGTAGGTAGGCAGGTCGGTTAGCGCCGCCATGTACCTTCTCTCTCCCAGCCGCGGCCGGCCGGCCTACCGTAAAACCGACGTACTAGTGATTTCCCCTCTTCCCCGCCCATCCTCCCGCCGCAATGCCCGGGACTGCTTCTGGGCTTCCCCGATCATTTCTTCCACTCCCCGACTTCGTCTGTCTCTCTATGGCGGCCAGGTCGGCCATGAGCCCAATGATGCCGGAAGCCTTTCCTTCTTCGCACCTCTTCTGCCCCAAAGCGCTGTGTCCCCGGCGGCAGCGCAGAACCGACCAACAAAAGCCGCAACCAAGTCTTGTTCTCTCTTTCTCTCTCTCAAGACAGCGCAAAATCAAAGGCCTCGCCCGTATCCTTGTTTAACAGCACTTCCCGTTGGCTCCACTCTGCTCGCCGACGTTGACGCCCGAGGCAGCGGGCTGCTCGTTCTTCTGGTTGTCGATTAGGCGCTTCTTGATGTCGGCGGCGAGGGAGTAGAAGGCCTTGTCGATGTTGATGTTGCTCTTGGCAGAGACCTCGAGGAAGGGGATGCCAAGCTCGTCGGCGAGCTGCTGGCCGCGCTCGGTCGACACAACGCGCTTCTCCTCCCAGTCGCACTTGTTGCCGATAAGGATCTTGTTGACGCCCTCGGTGGCGTGTTGCTCGACGTTGGCGAACCAGGTGCGAATGTCTGTGTTGGGAGAGAGTGGTCAGCTTCTTGCCACCTATCTTCTGTCTCATACGGGTGTGTCTGTGGTGGCGGCGGGGAACCTCGGCTAGTTCGCAGTAAAAGGCCATACCAACGCGGACACACCAGGGGAGACGTACTGTTAAAAGACCGCTCGTCGGTGACGTCGTAGACGAGGAGGATACCCATGGCTCCGCGGTAGTAGGCGGTGGTGATGGTGCGGAAGCGCTCCTGGCCAGCGGTATCCCAGATCTGGAGCTTGACACGCTTGCCGTCCAGCTCAATGGTGCGGATCTTGAAATCGATGCCGATGGTCGTGATGAATGAAGGCGTGAATGAGTCTTCGCTGAAGCGTAACAGGCAGCAGGACTTGCCTACGCCCGAGTCGCCGATCAGCAACAGCTTGATCTGGAGTGCTTGTCAGTCACATGTGAACACGATGTCATGTTCATTTCGCTGGTAGGCTTTTTCGACGAGAAAAGGGGCAGGTGGCCCTCAAGAAGGTACACTCGAGCATAGGCTCCCCCTCGAGCAAAGCGACGGGACAAGAGGTAGGGAGGGGCAGCAGCAATTGGCACATACAAGGAAGTCGTAATTGCGGTTGCTCGACATTTTGGCGGCGGCGGGTGGTCAGGAACTAAGAACCGAAGGGGCCGATCTTGAAGGGAATCGTTGCTTCTCGGGCCGGCGTGAAGGGGGTATCGGGCGAGTTTGTTGTGATCGGGAATACTGGGAGGGACGGAGTGGATTATCGCGATGTTCGTCGTCGGATTCGGGGGTATCGGGGGGTAAGAAGGGAATCGGGTTTGGGACGTGGTCAGGAAATCGGCCTAGGCAGTCTAACGCTCGTAGAATAGGTAGGCAGGTAGGTAGTAGGTATGTAGTCGGTTCTGGATGCAGTAGGTGACCTAAGGCGAGGGACTGTACAGTCCACTTTACTGTGAGGTACGTAGCGTAAGGCGGCGCAGCGTACCTAGGTAGGTAGGTAGTGTCCCGTCGAATCGCTTGGCTTTTTTTTTTGGGGGGGGGGGGGGGGGAGGGGGGAAGAGTGGTGCTGTCGTCTGGGGTAAGACACAACCCGGCCTTTTCTTGCTTGACCGTGACCTGGTGCTTGTTTGTGCTTGATGCTGGCTGGAACCGCTGGGACAGGGACTAACGGATCTGTTGCCCAGCGGCGAACTTGATCGGCTGGATACCTGTTAGTGTACCGTCGAAACGTGTATTACGCTGGCTCCTTTAACGAATTATATTTTTCTTCTTCCGTTTTGCAAGGTGTGCAATGCGCTGTTCTCTTTACGCTGCTCTCTGATAACCCAATGTTGCTTTACTTTTCTGCAGATGCGCTTGGATCGACCGTGGAGGTTTTGCTTCTTTTCCAACCTTTCCTCCCCTCCGACGCCGATCCGACGTCGTCGCGTCTCCTTACCGGGCACCGTAACATGCTGTCCTACCTATTGGCCGTCCTTGCTGGCCATAGAAAGAAGGGGAATGTAGGAACACCACTGGAACCGGCTCGTTGAAGACATCACAGTGCAACGAGCCCCTTTCCCGGGGTGTCTTTATCGTTGCCTACCTCGAGGCTCGAGTTATCGCGGCCCCTTGCCTCTTCAGTGCCAGCTAGGCCAGCTGCCATCGGTCTCCCGCCTCCGCCAGGCTTGCCAGGGGGGGGGGTGGGGGGGTTTCCGAAGCAACGTCATCGCACTGTCTTGCCTCAGGGTCCAGGTCCAAAGCTCGGTCACAGGAACCCAAAGTACCTGCTCTAGTATCCGTACTCGGTAGGCGGCTCATGATCACAAGGGGCAGCCGTCTCACACACCATGTCCCCTGGGAGGTTGGCCAACTCCGACGCTCAGCCTTCGTTTCTAGCCTGTTCCGGTCAACAACGCCACCAGTTAGGTAATCATGTGCAATTGTGTGTAATGAATCGACTTTTTGTTTTAACCGCTGTCCCTAGTGACAAATGCCGCCTGCTAAGCCCCGGTGCCAGTTTGTGATGCTCTGTTGACAATTCGTGATGCCTCCAGCGAATGTACAGATAGGGTACATGTTCCGCTGAGAGGCAGTTCCCGCTGTGCATAGTAAAAGTGACCTGAATGCTGAAACCCGTAAGACCGTGTATCCATGCGAATCGTTATTGCGCCCAAGGCTATTTCTTCCCCTCCTTCACATTCACTGGAGCCACCTGGCGTAGGCCCAGCGAATTCGATCCAACGCTCTAACCTGCACCTGAATGCCTTTCAGGTTGGCGAGGTCATCCAAATCCTCAAGAAACTCTCTCTGCCTGTCGCGGGGAAGCACTCCCTGCATCAGGCTGCGCAGCACGTGCACCTCGCACAAAAGGAGACCGTGGTCCTTGTATGAGAGAAGGTTGTTCTGTGACGGCGTCGCCTCCGAGAAGATGCGGTCAATGTTGCGCAACACTCTGATGCTTTTCCCAGCCTTGTGGCTGTGACGGGCTCCCTTGCGAGCGCCAAAGATGCCGCGAAGATACTGAACAATGCCAATGGAGACGAGCACACCGGGAGTCAGACCCACGAAGCCAAAGACCAGTTCCTGGCTCTTGAGCAAAGAGTCGATCCCGCTGATGGCCACCTCTAGATCGACCTTGGTCTTCTGCACCTGGATGAGAAGGGACCGAACTAGGTCGCCCTTGACGGCGCCCACGAAGGGGCTTCGCAAGTCCTTCTCAAATGCGCGGAGCACCGGCGTGACGTCTCCTTCGCCGACCTTGGCCCTGAGAGTGGCGATCTGGGCGTCGCTGAGGGAGGAGCCATTGCCTACAAACTGAGGCTTGTCCAAGGCAAAGTCCACCACCATGCGCTCCAAGCTCTCACGATCGGCTTTGAGGCTGTCCCGGCTCATGATGGCGATCTCGCTGCTTGAGTCGTGGCGGATAGTTCCCACAATCTTGCGTGTCGGCTCGACAACCCAGTTGAACCAAAAGTCGCGCATGGTAGCACCAATGTCCTGAATCCAGCCGAGAATCTCTGCACGCCGGTTGGCGAGAAGCCGGAGGATAGTCGTCGATGACAGCAGAGCCGCTGTCGCGGGCAACCAGTATCGAATGAATCGTGACGGGCGACCGTTGTCACGTACAAGCATCTGCGCCGTGGCGACATGGCTGGGGAGACCGGTATCGAGGATGTTGAGGAGACGTCGGGCGAGAACAGAGGGCTTTTCTACAGCGTTGGCGTCCTCGATGTGGATACTAAGTTCTGGATCTTCCTCTACGCCGGCGAACACCTTGTCCTCAAACTCGGCAACCCCGGACTCGAGAACAAGAGCTTCCTTGAGGACCATGTCCATGAGGGCCACGCTCCTCTCCACCACACCTTTCCAGTCGTGGCTGCTGACACCTGCCTCGCTCTTGTCGTCGTCATCGTCGCCACCGAATGTCAGTCCTTCGTCAACCAGCACGCCGAGGCCGCTTGCGATCATATCTCGCAAACGTCTGAGATGTGCCAGTTTTCTCCTGGCCTCACCGCGACTCAGGGCCACCGGCGAAAGGACCTTGCGCTGAAGGGTCGTGATCGAGGAGTCCCTGATACTGTCCCGAACGATGCCATAGAACTGCTTCCATTGATCAGACAGGCCAGTCCGCGTGGACTCGACGAGGTCTCCTGGCGTTTGGCTGAGGTTCTGTATGCGATGCTTGCTCTCGCGATAGACGTCCTTGGTCAGAGCCCACAAACGTAAAGGCGACGTCTGGACTGTGTAAATACTGCTATAAGTGTAAGAGCTCAAAACCTCGTCCCAGTACCACATCTCGTCGCTCAGGGGGATGATCTGGTCCAGGAGGGTGTTTAAGATGATTCCATAGGTTTGCACAGTGGCTTTGCTGATGAGTAGCCACTCGATCTCGGATTGGTAATGACCTCGGCCAGCCCCCTCATTCTGCTCCGCGTGAAAATCCCATTCCGCGAGCTTCGACTGATGCAGAAGGGCGCGGATCCTCTGGGAAGGGAGTAGGGAGAGCGAGGACGAAGTAGTGGATAGAGCTCTCGCGATGCGGAGGAGCTCGTCGATTCTCGGGGACGACAAGGCGTCTACCGCGGCAGAGTTGAAAATGCCATGTTCCTCGGCAGAAAGCTCGCCATCATCTTGGGAGAGGCTCAGGCCCAGAGGGATCCGGTCCAGCTGCGCGTCTAGGCGACGGACTTGGCTGTGCGCAGGGAAAAGGCGGATGTCAATAACGGGTTGTTTTGTTTGGGCTGACGGAAGGTCAAAGGAGGGGGAAATATGAGACGGAATATACTTACTCGGCCACAACAGACATTATGGCTTCTCACTCAGAGAGCACTCCTCCTCCACATTCATGCGTCGGGCGTGAGTCTTGGGGCCGGGGCTGTGAAGACCGGAGTCGCGTGAGGGTTGGGATTCGACACACACAGACTGAACCCAGTGGAAGTATGGTTTAGACGTCATCAGGTAAGCAAATGCCAATGCCCCGGGCAACACAACAATCGGGCCTGGGCCTGTGGGGGCCAACGACGCGGTGAAGGGTGGGTGGGAGCGGAATGATGGGTGGGTGCCTGAGGTGTCTTGTCCATCAGAGTGAGCTGGCGTCGTTGACGGAGCCAGACCACCGGGACAGCATCGGTGCCACGGCTTCGCGCCAAGAGCAGCATCCCAAAGCGAAACGCGACCACAGGCCCACCACAGCGTTGTCAAAATGGCATGTTTGGCAAGGGTGCAAGTCTAATCGGAAAATAGAGAGGATAACGGCAGCATACGGTTCTTTGCCCGCTGGGAAAGATTGCATGGTTGCCGGTGCCGGGCATTGTGTTACCTTGATAGCGGCTCGAAAGCTCAAGACGTACAGGTTCGATACAGGATAAGCATCATATCGCCAGATGGCACTGCAGCTGCTCTTACACAAGGGGCATGTAAACTGGCTAGAAATTGGATGATGAAATTATCAACAGAGTATCTGGGCTACCTACAAGCTGACAAAGCCGAACCTATGTGCACTACAACTACAAGCTACGGATAGAAGTCACTGAGCAATAGGTCGGATCAAGCTCAACCGTGAGACGCCATTGTGCCATGTGCCCTTCTGTCCGTGTCTAAAAGTTCCAATGGAAAAGTGGCAGCGATAAGTAACGGTCAATTCGCCATGCTGGAGCATCGCATCCCAACAGGGGGGTACGTCCTCGGCCGGTTCTGACAAGCTCACGAAGGCGACGCGGTGGCGCGACGGCGCACCCAGTGGTCAGATGGACCGCATCGGCAATCGGATACTGGCAGAGTTGTTATGGGAAAATGTCATTCCTCCTCGATCTTCCGGACTGCTCCAAACTAGTAGCGCCAAGTCCAAGACACCAGCGAGACGTGCAACAGTGCAACGCCCCCCCCATATTCGTATTCGTGTTGAGGTACCTAACTGGGTACGTACCGCACATCCATCTAAGTGACTCCAATTCAGCCCGGCCGCGCCGTCCACGCAACGCCAACTACTACATAGTAGGCATAACAGAGAAAAAGTCAAGGTGCGAGGTGCTTCATGCAGGGCGATAAGATAGGGCAGGTCTATCAAGTATACTTCATAGAGAATCGGCCTCCTAGTATTGTCCGTCACGGGGCAAGCACAGTGCGGGTAGAGGGGCGCTCCAATGACAGGTAGATTTTGCTGGCCTCCCATCTAACATCTATTGGTGTTTCTCAGTTCGACGTCGATTTTACATTGTCATTGGATCAGACTGTTGTTGCTGCTGCTGATGCCGCCGCCACTGTCAACAACGTGCTTGTTGTACCTTGGGAGCTTGAACACGAGTCAACAGCAAACAGCAGAAAGGAAAGAGGAGCTTTGTTCAATGATCCATAGGAACCGTGCACTCGAATCAACGCCACTACCGCCCCTCCAACCACTGTGATTGGCGGTGCCAACCCAACAGGGTCACAACTTGCACGCCCTTTTGCCTCTCGAAATCTCTCTGAATACCTAAACCTACCACCTAGGTACCCGCCCTACCCACCTACTTGTGTACGTACCCTGCACACCGCCCGGCCCATCTACCAGAGCACGCGTGTCTCTCATAGGCTGGTATCCACCACGGAAGACGGAAGGACCCACGAACTACATGGCCTGATGTGCAGACACAGCCTCCCATAGGCTCTTTCACACCAGCAGGACCCCACTCTATCCAGCACTCAGGGGGTGTTTTCATAGAACAATTTGCTCCTACATAGTAGTTTTTTACCTACCCTTCAGAGTCGCTATGGGGAAAAAAATACCTTTGCCCGTTACCTTAAGCTGCAGGTGCTGTTTCCGTTCCCCGTCAACCGAAATGATCCATTGATAAAACCTCAACAAGACCCGGCCCTGGACCCTTCGCCTTGCCGCTCGCTGTCTTTTTCCTCCCCCCTAACCCAAGCCCAACTCTTACCTTTACCTCGGCGCGCATTGTCGAAGAAGAGAGAGTGTGTGACCGCGATATTTCACTCACTTCTTCTTTGCCGGCTTTGGCTTTCCCACCATCGTTTCTTTTTTTCGGCATCTGCTTGTTGAAGCAAAAGTCGCAACACTGCGCTACCCCCCGCCATTATGGCCTCCTTCATGTGAGTTCGCCAGTGTACCTGTAGCCTCAATGCCCCTTTGAACCAATCTTGGAGGGACGGTCACTGATGATTTTGTTTCAAACAGCAACTCGACCGTGATTAACACGGCCTTCAACCACACCCAGCCCTACTTCAGCGTCTTTGAGGAGGTCTCGAAGTACAATGTCCAACTCAACTACTTCGAGCGCCTCTGGACCGTACGTCAATACCCTTCCACGCATCGTACTCTTCGGCCATGTGGCTAACACTCCATCTCCACCCAGGCTTGGTATCTCTGGATGCAAAACGACACCCTCGCTACCGGCATAATGAGCTTTGTCATGCACGAGACTATCTACTTCGGCCGCAGTCTACCCTTCATTATCTGCGACCTCATCCCCTGGTTCCACAAGTACAAGATCCAACCGGTAAGCAGCAACGCTCCAATGGAGCCGGCAAGATGATGGTTTCTGATTTTCTCAACAGCAAAAAATGCCGACACTCAAGGAGCAGTGGGACTGCGCAATGGTCGTCCTCATCAGCCACTTCACCGTCGAACTGCCCCAGATCTGGCTCTTCCATCCCCTCGCCACGTGGTGCGGAATGGAGTACGGTGTCCCCTTCCCTCCTCTCTGGAAGATGGCCATGCAAATTTCCATCTTCTTCGTCGTGGAGGATACCTGGCACTACTGGTTCCACCGCGCCCTGCACTACGGTCCCCTCTACAAGGCCATCCACAAGCAGCACCACTACTACTCGACCCCTTTCGGCCTCGCCGCCGAGTACGCCTCGCCCATTGAAGTCATGCTCCTCGGCATCGGCATTGTCGGCACGCCCATTTTCTGGCTCACCCTCACCGGCGACCTCCACCTCCTGACTATGTACGCCTGGATCGTCCTCCGCCTTTTCCAGGCCATTGACGCCCACAGTGGCTACGACTTCCCCTGGAGTTTGCGCCACATCCTGCCCTTCTGGGCCGGCGCCGACCACCATGATCTCCACCACGAGAAGTTCATCGGCAACTACTCCTCCAGCTTCCGCTGGTGGGACTACTGCCTCGACACCGAGGCCGGTGTCGAGGCCCACAGGAAGCGTCGCGAGAAGAAGCTCAAGGCCATCAAGGCCCAGAAGACCCAGTAAATGCGCCATGTTTCTTTCTGGCTCGGCGCCCTACCGAGACGACACGCGAATGTGCCGAGGGGAGCACGCTCATGGGCAGTGCTTCGAGTGCAGCTCTGGATACCGGTTGAGCACCTCATGATACGACGTATAGAAGCGGCGGGAACGGGAATCGCAAGGACGCGAAATGGCACGAGGCTCGACGCCGAGGCCATTAAAGTCTACGTAATTACTCATTGGAGCGGCGTTCGAAGAGGGATTGATGGTTGTGCAAGGGGGGGAAATGACGATTTATGCGAATTCTGCCGTATATAATAGGAAGGCCACCCAGACAAATGGCATTACAGTAGACTACTTAATTACAGCACAACTTTCACTGTTTTTTCTGTTTTTCGCACGCTGGTTGAACCTTTTTGTGTCCGTTGACAGTATACATGATTGTTACAATTGTTCTTTGCGCGGGTCCGATTAAGGATATTTTTACTCCACGGTGAGCCGGACCTCGTTCCCGAAACCAGGTAGAGCCGCCGGGTCAGGAAGGGAGCCGGAGGTCCACTTCACTCACTTCTTGGGCGTGCAGCAGTCTCCTGCCGTGCCCGCGGCTTTATCGGCCAGGCCCCTGATGCCGCAGCTGATGGTGGCTTCGCCGTCGCCCTCGACGCCGGCGGCCGGCGGCACCTCGACCTCGCCGAAGTCCCTGGCCAGGGCGTCGCAGATCATAGCGAGCTTGAGGTCCTTATCCGACAGGCCCTTTGGGTTGTGCGTCGTCCAGCGGATGAAGGTCGTGTTGTAGACCTAGGCCCGCGCATGTTCGTCAGCTCCGGAGGAAGTACAGTGTTGCATCTCCGCCCACTTCATTCAGTTCGGAGAAAAATAAGAAAGAAGAAGAAGAAGAAGAAGAAGAAAAAGAACGGGAACGCGGCGAGCCTCATGGACTGGCGGGACGTACGTTGGACCACTCGGGGTGGTGGTTGTGGATTTTGCACTGCAGGCTTACGGCCGTCATGAAGTCCTTTATATATGTGCCTCGTCAGTCCCTGCCACATGCTTTGTCGGGTTGGTTCACCCACGCCGAGGCGTGGACGACTTCACGGGCCAGGACCCAGCAATGAGAGGGGGCTATGGGAGGGAGGTGAGATGTCACGCACCCACGTCTTTGCAAAGTTTTTGAATTTGAAGCTCCTCTCCACGGCCTCCCCGTCGTTCACCAGCGCCCAGCGGCCGGCCCCCAGTAGCGTCTCCAGCATCGCGGACAGCGAGGCCTCGTCGGAGCCCTGCGAGAAGCGGGCTGTGGCCTGTGCCGGGGCGGCGGGGGTCGTCGACATGGCTCGGCGGTGCGGGTGGCGGTGTGGCTGCTCGACGGGCCGAGGCGATGACGACGATGCTCTCGAGAAGATGGATGATGCGGTGAGTGATCGCGGTGTTTGGCGTGCGAGGCGGCGGAGGAGGACCGAGGCGCTCATCTCTGAGGAGATGATTAGAGAGGGAGTGGGTGAGCAGTGATATGAGTTCTGCAGAGCGTCTGCGCAATACCTACCTAGGTAGTGAAGAAGAGCCCGCGGGACTGTTTGAAGGTTGCCGTGTAGGGATGTACCTACCCCTGCCGCTGTCGAGCTCGGGTGGGGGTCCTGATAAGATTGGCCAGTCACCTAGTTGTCTCTTATAGTCTCATCCTCTCTTTTACATGAACACATGTTGAACTACGAGTTGCCTTTCCTGCAAGGCGAGTATAAATCGGCTACCAAGAGACAGAGAACCGGTGATGTTCAAGTGGGTTTGAACCGGTAAAGCTGGGGAACGGCAGGGTCACAGGGGTAAAATTCGACGCTGGACAATGCCAATCTGCCGCCCAGCTACCCGACCTATAGAGAGACGGATGTTCTTCGCCGTATTGTCAACTCCGCGTCTGCAGCATGCGTGAGCCATTGGCAGATCGGACATTGGCGCAGGAAGAGGAAGGCCGGCGATTGAAGCCCATCAGCCACTGATGTCCCACGTTGTCATTGTCCCAGGGCGGTGGCCCGTAAGGGTTTCCGCGAGCCGCGCGAAGGATCGCCCATCGTGCTCCCTTTCGTACCTGGATCTGGCAGCTTGTTTCCCCGTCCCACAATTGCTCACTTCCTGCGGCGCGAATCCGCCAAGAAGCTCGGGGGCTTTTGTCAGCATGCTGTTATCCTTGACCCAAAGTTCCGGGGTGCGCTACCCCGCGCTTCGAATCCGTCCATGACGAGAGATGGCAAGTGGTCTATAACTCTGGATTCGTCCGATTTCACTACTACCTTTTCATCAATATGATTCCGTAAGTTCACGCAGCTGCCAATATTTGAAACCCAGAAGCTTTCTAACTCGCGGCTTGTCAAACTCCGGCAGCCCATTAAACATGCATATGCCCTATCGGCCTGCAGTGGCGGATGTCTTTTCGCATCCATCCATCCACCACCACAGCTTGAAGCACCTCGTAAGCTTCCGGAATGCCTCCAGAGAAAGAGATACAGGCGGCGGGACTGGACGTCACTGTCATCGTCGCTGAGCTACTTATCCCGGGCCGTGGCGACCCCGTTAAGAACGCTGCCGTCGCTGTTGAGGACGGCAAGATCGTCCATGTCGGCAAGTATGACAGCCTCCCGGGAAAGTACCGCTCAGTCAGGCCGGTCCACGTCCCGGTCGTCATGCCCGGCCTCTGGGATGTGCACACCCACTTCATCGGCCTCGACGTTGTCACCGACTTTGCTACCGGCTTGATCAAAGTCTTGCCGGGATCTAACGCCCTGGTAGGCGCCGTCACCGTCCAAGACCTGGAAGAGACGCTGATGGCGGGATACACCTCTGTCCGAGAGCTTGGCGGATATGCCGGGGACTTGGTTCCCGCCATCGAGAAGGGGCGCCTGGTAGGACCCAACGTGTACTCGGCCATCGCCGCCATGTCCATCACCGGAGGACACGGGGACCAGCACGACCTCCCCATCCAGACGGTGATGAGATTTGCCGAGTGTGGCGGGCCCTGCTCCATTGTCAACGGCGCGGACGACTGCACCAAGGGGGTGAGACTGCTCGTCCGCCGGGGAGCGCGGTGCATCAAGGTCTGCTCTAGCGGCGGCGTCCTGAGCCTATTGGATGATCCGGAGGACAGGCAATTCTCGGACGAGGAGCTCAAGGCCATCGTCGAGGAGGCGGGCCGCAGCCGTCATGCCGTCGCCGCTCACGCCATTGGGAAGGCGGGCATCATGGCTGCGCTCAGGGCGGGCGTCAAGAGCATCGAGCACGGCATGTACCTCGACGACGAGGTTGCCGATGCCATGCTAGAGAAGGGCGCCATCTTCGTCCCCACCCACCACGTCGTGACCACCATAGGCAAAGATCCGTCACAGCTACCGCCCCCCATCGCACGCAAGTTTGAGAAGCTGATGCAAAAGGCAAAGGAGTCTTATCAGTTGGCCATCAAGAGAGGCATCAAGATTGCGCTCGGCACGGACAGCGGCAGCAGCGACCGCACGAAAGACCTCGCGCACGGAAACAACGCCATGGAGCTGTACTGGGCCGTCAAGAACGGCATGACGCCGCTGCAGGCCATCGAGGCGGGCACCGCGAACGGCCCAGAGGTTCTCGGAGGAATGGCGCCGCTGAGTGGACAACTCAAGGAAGGGTATGACGCGGACCTGATCGCCGTCGCCAAGAACCCTTTGGATGATATTGAGGTTCTGGTGAAGAAGGAAAACATCACCCATGTTTGGAAAGGGGGCAAGCTGTTCAAGTCCCCGTAGGGCGCATGTCACGCGTTGTACTGCCATAAGGGTATACAGCCCGATGGCTGGCCAGTACGTATCGGTACAACGCGGAAATGTAACGGTCTCGCCAGGAAAAGAATCATCTGCTTGCTGTCACTGCGGGGATCCGCCTGCGATCAGTCAGCGACTCGCCTGTCGGCGAGCCAAAAAAAAAAAAAAAAAAAAAAAAAAAAAAAAAAAAAAAAAAAAAAAAAGGTGCCACGGCTCCCTCTGTCCAACGCTGTCTTCCCTACTAGCCTCGGAATGCCTTCCACGTGTGGTCTGTGGCTTGACGTAGCTTCAGTGTCCAACACAGAACCAATGGAGCTCCCAACGAGGGCAATGATGCCATCAGCAGCTGCATTATTGTCGACTCTCTCGGCAGTTGATTTGGAACCGGGCTTGCCTCCGTTCACTTCGCTCGGAGCAGGGGGAGCTTAGCGGTTAACGTGCTGACTGGATACGACGCACGCATGCACGCACGCATGCAGTGCCGAGACAGCCCTCCTGATGCTCCAGTAAGCGGGGGCCAATATTAGAAGTTGACTGATTTTAGTGGCTCTATTTCAAGATCTGCTTTCAAGAAGATGCGCAGCAGGGTATCTGTTCGTATGCAGAGTCCAATCAAGACTCGGCAGGACGTTCTACAGACGTCTTGTTAGATGCTTTGTAAGGAACATCATGGCGGCAGCTGCCACTCGCAGGTAGCGGAGGGCAGGGTGGAAGCACGTATGGCCAATTGCCATTGATGGTCTTGCTTCGATGATACCATCCGGCCGAGTTTGTCATGCTCTTGGAATATGTGTGCCTCAACCGAGGTATGGCGATTACTGAACTCGCCCGACTAGTCCAACATGCGGGACTCTGGTAATGCTCCTTGTACGCAGAGAAATTGGCGTCGCATGGGCGTTGCTGATGAATATAATTTTCATGTTCGAGATCCGATGGATGCATGAGATACTGACAATGTAATGTAGGTGTCGATGGATGGCGAAGTGACTTCACCCCAGGGTAAATTGAAGTAGTTGGTATGATCCAACTAGCTAGATCAGAGAACGACTATCCATGGATAGAAGGATTGAAATATCGCTCTCCCAAACTACAACAATAAGATGCGCTTCCTAAGCAGGCAGGTTGGGCAGCCGCGGATTTACGCTGAGCGGCGTCTATAACGTCGAACATGGTCTGCATAGCATCGCCACCGCCACCGAGCTTGAAGACACGTACAATGACAGCACACCTGGCGCTGAGTGTCATTTTGATATCTCCGTTGGCTTGCATCGCTGTCGTTGGCCATTTCGTCGGCCGGAGTGAGCCGAGTACAAGTGCCGGACTGCCTGTCAATACGGCGAATAACACGCCATTGGCCAGGGAGTCATCCGGGCGAGCAGGCCAGATCTTCTGGAGCGCGCACAGACCCCACCAGGTGCAGCGAGCACAGGCGCATGCCATACGCGCCAAGGCCCGCAGGATTATGTAAGTCAAACGTCGGAAGTCGCGATTCCTGGTGGCCGAGGAAAAGCCTCGTCCCCATCCATCTCGTCGGTCGTCCAGGGAGGACAGGTGTTGTGTTATCAGAGCCGCTTAGGTGTCCGCTGTTGAGGGGAGAGAGAGGGCCTTCCTGGCAGTTGGACATTGGCGGTTGGTTGTTGCCGGGGAGGGGGGAGAGGGGGGGGGGCGATGACTAATTGTGAATAAACACTTCTCGGGGAGGCACCTCCTGTACTGGGCGGTTGCTAGGCGGTCACCTTACAAACCAACCATGCGGGAAGAATGTGCTCTATGGGCATCCGTTTCCCCATGTCCTTTTTTTTTTCTTTTTCTTTTGTTCCTTTCTCTTTTCTTCCATTCAGCCAGGATGCGGAGAACCTCCCCGCATGGATCCCTCAGGCGCCCTGATCTCGTCGGCCATTTCGAGAAGTCCGTCGGCTCTCCTTTTGCAGTGTGTTTCCCCGTGATTGGCAAATGGGAGTGCCGGATTGGTTCCTGTGGAGAATGGCTTGGATGAGGTAATTAATCCGGATCCAGAAGGGTCTGGGTCACATTGCTGACAAACAGGGTTTGATGACTATGCCGGCGATAACGACCACGGCTCGAGAAGTATCAACTAATACACTGGAGTATCATGTCGACTGTTCACAATACATGCATGGTTCCGTTGCCAGAACCACGGAAGCAGTGTGTCAGATAGAGTCCATATTGGCGCTGTATGGATACTGCTTGTCAAAAACCAGGACCCCACGGCAGAGGTGCGTGCGTGTCTGGACACTCCGTATGCCCAACAGCTCTCAGCTGGCAACCTACCTACCTGTATGTCTGTTTTGTCGCCTCCCACCGGTAGGTGACCAAGCTTCGCACTCCAGAATGACGTCCCGAAATCCGTAAAGCACATTCGAACACGGCATGCTGCGGCATTACCTAGGTACGCAGAGAGGGACTGCAGGGAAGTATTGCAGAATAGGTACCTTGGATCAGGTTGCAATGCTCAGGTTCGGTGTCGAAAGGCAGACGAGCTGAGCTAAGATGGAAAGGCTGCTCTTGCTCTGTTCGTCCACGTCTGCCTCTATTACTCGATTGGATGCCGCCGAGCCCATCCCATTTCACCAGCTTGTCTGTCTCACGGCATAAGGCGCCCCCCAAACGGACGGGTTGAGGCAGGAGAGGGGGACGAGACCCAGGTAAGGAAGCCAGGCTATACAGGAAAGGTACCTCTCAAGCTCAGAAAGGTACACACCGAAAGTACCTTCCGCGGGCGAGCAAGAAACAACAAGCTGTCTGTCAGCCTGGGGCCTGTCACGCCTGCCACACGCCTGCCACGCCTGTCTCTTCTCCGCCTTACCGAAATTCCTCCTCGACGCGTACACGGCCAACCCTCTCCTTCCTTCTCTCCAAATCGGCCAGCCAATCGACCAACCAGTCGATCCTCCACTCCCAGCCACGCACTTCTCTCCCTTTTTTCCCTTACTTTTCACGCGAGAAGAAGCCTTTCGATCCATCCCATCGTAAATACTGGGTCATAACTGCTGGCAACCAAAACAGGACGACACGACACACTCAACGCGTCAAGATTGGCTCTTGAGCTATTCCACACCTTTCCACTCCCCGAAACCATAGCTCCTTCCGCACCTGGCCACACCTGGGAAGTCAACCGAGGGACGGGGCCACCAGACCACACCACACTCATACTGCATGCTTCCTGTCTGCTGCGCCGGATCACCACAAAAAGTGGTCCAAGCTACGCGACCCGACCTCTTTGCCCTGCCTTACGTTACCTCCCCAATTTTCTCTCTCCCTCTCTCTCTCTCTCTCACTCTCTCTCAGACACACCTTGGCCCTTCCTTACCTCTCCGGAACAGGCCCGGTACCTACGGATACCTTGCCCAACACCTTACGTTACCACGTACGGATTTACCCATACCCTTGTCAGGTTTCCCCTCCTCTACGACGCGCTAGGGTCCCGGTCGATTACATAATCGCTCTCTGAGCTGCCGCATCGGTCCCCCGTCTCATCCAGTCACTCGTCCGGGCCCTCTTTATAAGTCGTGGCCGGGTGCCTGTAGTCATCAATTCTCCCGTCCACTTCATGCTGAGTCAGAACCGGAGCTTGAAGATGCAGAGCGCTTCGCCCTCGCCTTCTGCGAATACCACCACTAACACAGGTGAGTAGTTGTTGGTCTTTCTTGTTTCTGCTTTCTCTGATTTACGAATCCCAATCCAATATCCTATCCTGTTCTTCACACCATCTTGCAGCTCCCCCCGACCACCGAGACCTCTGCTACTCCCCGTCGATCCCGTATCATCCTCCTCTGTCTGCCATTACCCTCTTCCTCCCTCTCCCTCTCGCTCACTCTCACTCTCACACACACCTCTACCTCAATTCGTCTTCCAGTGCCGGTAGCTCGTCTAGCTTTCCGCCTTGTCTCATCTTTCCACTCCTGCTCGTACATTGCACCTTGCCCGGGTTGAGTGTACTTTGCGTGAGACGAACCCTTCTTCACTTTAAACAACGTTACAATCTGCAATACCTGCTACATCCCAGGAGAGATCGCGCTCCCTCACTACTATTGATATGTAATCATCCCCCCCCCCCCCTTTCCCCATCAGCTCCCCTTCCATCAGCCGACTTCCCAAAGTCCTTTAGCAGCTGTCTGAGCTGCGCCTTTTCTCTCTTTGTCTCCGCGACAAGTCGCTTGAAGCAAAGGCGAAGCGGAATACCGCGGAGATTGGGGCACTCAGGCGGCTAACTCTCACACCTCTCTCGCCCTCTCACGGCGCATCTTCCACACTTTTCCGGACCCCTGCTGCTACAGGGACTCCAGAACTCCCCGGGACCTACATCAAGCTGTAATCTCCCTCACTATATCATGCCAAAACAGCCCCGAATTTCACTGGTCCTTGAAACCATCTGTTTTTTTGACAAGTCCTGGTTGCACCAAGCTTAGACATTCCTTGCTGACATGATATATGCTCTCCACAGACGCCCACCTGCACGCGCAGCTTGAGCTACTAAGCAAGCACACCACGCCCAACCCGTCAGACGACGCGACAGCCCCATCCCGCGGAGCTCGTCCCCAATCTCTTAACCCACCGAGCGCGTCGCCTGCTCATGGCTATAGTGAAGGCTCGACCTCGCCACCTACTGACGTCTTGCCGCCGATAGTCAACAATCACACCGACTCCGAAGCGCATATCCATCCTGATCTCCGAGCTCGAGCTACCCACGCGCCAGCCGTCAACATGATGCCCGCTGGCGTGCCTCCGCAACCCCAGCAACAGCAACAGCAACAGCAACAGCAACAGCAACAGCAGCCGATTGCACCACCTGCAGCGACTGCCGGCCCCTCCACGGCGCCTCCTCCTCACTCCCCTCCGTCAAGCATGGCGTTGGACGAGACCGCAGAGGGCCGCAAAGCCAAGCGCGAGTTGTCGCAATCTAAGCGCGCCGCCCAGAACCGAGCTGCACAGGTACGATATCCACAATATATAATGGGCGCGTGGGGTCAATGGCGCGTGATTACACCGCGCATGCCGCAGAAGTTTGTTGCAGCGCTCGCTCCAGTACGGGGCTCGTCAGCCTGTCTGACAGACCACTCACTGCTGCCAAACCTGTTGCATACAGCGCACCCATCCAGACTTTCTGTTATAACTTGATGGGCTTGGGCTGACTTGTTATACCATAGAGAGCTTTCCGCCAGCGCAAGGAGGGATACATAAAAAAACTCGAGCAACAAGTAAGGGATTACATGGAAATGGAGCAGCAGTACAAGGCGATGCAGTCAGAGAACTACGCGTTGCGCGAGTACGTGATCCACCTTCAGTCGCGCTTGCTTGACGTTCAGGGCGAAGTCCCTCAGCCTCCACCCAACGTCAACCTCCAACACCCGTCCATGCCGGCTCCTCCGGTTCCAACGAGTGGCCCGGAAATCCCTCCCAGCAATGCGGGCGCCGGCCCTCTTGAAGCTGTCGCGCAGGCGGTGGCCGGTCTGCAGGCCCAGGAACAGCTTGCAGAGAGGCAGCAGTTTACAAACAAGGGCTTTCAGCCTGAGCAGATGAAGGAGGAAACGCGACGGGAGGGTGAGGAGATTGACCCCCAGCTGCCGGACAGCCTCCCGGCTCCGACCGCTTCTATGTGAGCGCGCCCGAGAAATAACGGCGCGTTGAAATTTCAGTCTCGTAGTTTTCGTCAATGGCGTTGCGGGATAATGGTTTGTCAAGAAATTACTAGTGGACTGGCGTTACCGGCATGGCTTCTTCTACCCCCCCTTTGTGGGTTGTTTTGTTGGGCCTCGGGCTTGAGTTCTTCATCAAAAGGGAGGGGGAGAGAGAGAAAGAGAGAGTGGCTTGGTGGTTGTTGCGACGTTGACACGAGACGGGGCGTGTGGAAGGAGGAAAATCGAGGACTTGATGGAAACCAACCGCCCGGCGGCATTGTTGTCTTGCGCAGTGTTCATACGGGTCCGTCTCCAGGTGATGACCATGCTGCAGCGGCAGAGCTACTCCGCTGGCCGCTTATCAACAGCACCGGAGACCTTGCCTCGACCCAGTTCCCACCGCAGATAGTCTTTGCTGAATCACGTTGCATTGCCACTACTTGACGTCTGCCGTCCACGCGACGACGCGTCTTTGCCCTTGAGCCCAGGATATCCGGGTTACACGAGTGACGGGCAGACTCACACACAAAGACGAAGTCAACGAGGCTTGCTTTTCATTTGATTTATATGATGAGACTGATTAACGAAGCGCCCCCCCCACCCCCCGAGCTCACTGCACCTTTTCCATCAAGCGCCCCCCCTTTCCTGATCGATTAATCATACATACGACATGTTTCCCAGATCGTGTTCCTGCGCAGAGCAAGGTTAGCGTTCCATGAACGGAGGGAGAAGAACAGATGCGAGATGAGGATGAGAGCGTGATAGGGGGGAAAGGGGAGATGAAGGCTTGCTTACCTTGATGTACTCGGAGCCCTTCTCCTGGTACTCCTCCCGCGTGATGGTGGCGGCCTTCCACGCGGACGAGCCCGCCCAGCCGGCGGCGCCCCTCCACGCGTCGAGGAGGGCGTCCTGGGCGCGACGGATGGCGAGCGGCGAGTCGGCGGGGAGCAGCGGCCTGAGGCCCTGGCGGAGGCGCTCGTCGAAGCCGTGGAAGAGGGTGTTGCCGCCCGTGAGGAAGATGTCCTTGAGGAAGTCGTCGCGGTCGGGGATGCCGCCGAGGCGCTGGTTGAGTATGTCCCCGACGATCTCGACGAGGCCCCCCTGGTCGACCCCGGCGACGGACGGCTGAAACACGACCTCGGGCACGCGGATGCGCTCGACGTTGAGGTGGATCTGGTTCAGCTCGGCCTGGGAGCCGGCGTCGAACGGCCGCGGGCCGCGCGCGAAGGCGTGCAGCATCGACTTGGACCAGTCCGTCTGCGCCTCGTGTGTGTCCTCGTACGTGAACTCCGGGTCGTAACGGAGCAGGTCCTCCTCGTACGTCTTGAGGTTCGCCTCGAGGTTCTCCTCCTCCTGCTCGTCGTCGCTGTTGTCGCCGACCGTGATCTGGCGGTACACACCCCAGTCGTCGTCGTTGGCGCCGAAGGTGTCGTCGTCACCGCCGCGCCGGCGCTTCTTGGTCGGGTTGTCCGAGGCGAGGTTCGCGATGCTCTTCATGCGGATCTGCGACGCGAGCGACTTGCGGTTGCCGAGGTCCTGCTTGAGGCGCTCGCGCTCCTTCATCTTTTGCAGCGTGACGGCGCGCGCCTGACGTCTCTCCTCGAGCCAGCCCTCGAGGTCGTTCTCTCGGCGCTCCTCGTCCAGCCGCTTCTCCTCCTCGATGCGGGCCTTCTCGGCCTCCTTCTCAGCCTTGGCGCGCGCGCGCGCATCGTGATTGGACTTCATGAGTTTCTGTTGGCGCTTTGCCTTGATGCCGGCCTCGTCGAGCTCCTCGTCCGGCACGTCCAAGAGGTCAAACACCGGTTCCTGCTGCTCCTCAGCGGGGTCGCCGCCGACATCCTTCGTCCGTGCCTTCTTTACCGCCTTCTCCAAGGTTGCGATGGCTCTTTCCAGCGCCGCTTCGTCTTTGAGATCGTTGCTGTCCAACAGCCGTCTAACCTCCTTCTTGTTGGTCTGCTGCTCCAGCTTGGCTTGGAGCTTCTTCAGTGATTCGAGCTCATTCTCCTTTCGCATGAGCTTCTCCAGACGCATCTTCGCCGCTTGCTCCTGCAGGCGCCTACCGCTCTCCTTCTTTCGCTCGGCGATACGTGCCAGCTCCTCCTCGGTTTTCTGTATAATAACCTCTTCCGTGAAGGGGTACTGAATGACGATATCCCGATCCTCGAGTCCGGTCCAGTCCAGGTAGCCCCGCAGTTCGTTGTCGTAGTCTGTCGAGACATATGCGTGGTCACGAAGCATATGCTCAGCCTGCGATACGTTGAGCTTCCCCGTGAAGGCGGGGTATTTCAGCCGGATCAGCTTCAGAAGATACTCTGCTGCATGCCATCCTCCCCAGTTGAGCCTCGTGGCTTGGTTAAGCACCGCCTTGTGGTTGTAAACGGGTATTACATGCGTGGAAGTGTAGGATGACGACACCACTATGCCAGTCTTTCCCTTGTTGTGTGCGTACGAGAAGAGCGAATCGATACCGTACGCCAGTGATGGAGCACCGTAACACTCGAAGATAATTTCCGTCATTGCTGCGTAGACGTCAGTCGGACAGTCGTTAAGGCTCCTACAAGGTCGGCTTACATTTCCGGGAGTAGGGCAGGTTAGCCACGGCCTCTGTCATGACGATGGGTATGTCTATGGACGCATCGTCGCCATTCATGCCGAGCTTCAGAAGTATGTAATCGAGAACATGTTCCATGACATCCCAGTTGCTGACTATGCCCGTCCCTTGCTCGTGCGCATATCGAATGTGGCTCCTCGCCGTCGTGTCGGCGTAGCAATCACTGCCGGCGAAAGAGTACGTCTTCCCGGCTTTTCGGTCGCGGTACTTGGACATGATCGGGGGGATGATCAACCGTGGGTTCTCCTCAAATGACCATCCGGCGCGGACGGCCGAAGAGCCTGACGATGACGGTTAGCAAGGGAAGAGCTCGTACAAGCCTGTGGCCGTTTGGGAAGCTTACCGTTGTCGATGACGATAGCTGCACCCCCGGACGACTGCGCCATTGCCTTCTCCCGTCCATCGTGCAACACCGGAATCGGCTTCTCGAACTTGGCTTCCTTCACCGGGAAGATTTTCGCTGGTGGATATGTTCTCTCCGGAGGCGCGGGTAGAGGCGGGATCTCGCCCGTTGCTGAGGGCGCCATCGCGACGACTGTTCGTGGTCAAGTCTTAGGATGTCGCGGCGCGACAGACCATGCTCAGGTGACGAATAGCAATTGTTTGGATCGAAGTCGGTCGTGCCCAGTCGCCTTCCTCGAAAAAAGTCAACAAAAAGCGTTTGCGTCACGTGCAGCAGGTTCAATGCGTCTATTCGATTATGGTTGTTGAAGCTGTAATATGCCCGTCCTGCGAGGCTGAGAGGCTACGAATTTCAGTGGATCCCTAGCCGCTACATAAAGTCACCGGGCAGCTTTGCGATCTTAGTGCGACCCCCTACAGTGAGTGCCTGTTGGTCAGTTCCCCGGAGCGCATCTCAGGTTCGCATATTCTCTCAAACACGGGCCATTAGATAAAGTGCCAGATACGATGATGATGATAAATTGTGTATATTAAATCAACCAGTCAAGCGAGGTTTTATGGTTTTCCAGCTCTAAGAACAGTGGTGGCTTCTTCTGCTCGGGGTATTTTCTCTACGGTTTCTGGGCTGTAAATCAGGCCCGAATACGGATACTGTTCATCAATCTTGTCTCATTCCTCATGCATATCCCAGACTCTCTCAGAATCCCAAGCGATTTTATGAAGGGGGCTTCAGGTTATCGGTTGCTGGCATGGAATTAGTATCTGATCAAACCCATCATGGCGGCGGACCTACCCTCCAGATGGAACAAAACGTTGGACTGGTAGTTCTTGAACATCTGTGCGACAAGCTCGACGTTCATGTTCTGGATGTTGATTTCCTGGGCGCACCGTCAACCACTGCCCTAATCAGCTATCAAGTAAAGGAACGTACCTGCAGCGCTCTGTTCATGACTACGACAGCCTCGTTGAGTTTCTCCTAATTGTCGTATGAGTCGCATTGATCTATGGTCGCCTGACGCTGAGAACCTTACCACATTGGTGATGATGCGAGAGAGCAGCAAGTTCTGCTGGTGTTCATGAGGACTCTCCTATCGATGAATCAGAACCTTTGATCCACCAAGTACGACGGGTTGCAGCTATACCATTTGTCTGGGCTCGTTGTTCCTGTGTTTGTGATGTGTTTGTTTACTCACAGTGTAATGCCCCACGGAAGCCAGTTGCATTAACCTTGGGGGTCCTCACACCGACCTCACCGGGCTGCTTATTCAGGCGGTCAGTCGCGGCAGAATAAGCTCCCCTGCCATTGCTTCAACATGGTGTGCGTCTGCGACCACCCATCCGTCACCAATTCGACCGGCAACGACCCCGAGATTCTGTCCGAGAACCTGCTCACCCACGATAAGCCGAAAACGAAACTATGGCGGCCCCAAAAGAAGCAACGGAGGCGCAGATTGCCCACCAGGCGCTCCTTGACGAGCTCGACATCCACTCCATCCACAAGAGCTTCCGTAACCCGTCCTGGCGCCCCAACCAGCGCCGTAACAAGAACATCAAGACCATTCTCGGCGATGCTTCGCGTCGTGAGGCCTCAGCCATGGCGACCCCACAGCAAGAGGAAGCCAGCGCCGCGGCCACGCCTGCCGCAGACAAGCAAGGAGGCGGCGAAGATGGCCTCTCGACGAGCGGTACCTCGACGCCCGCGAACCCGACCGGCAACGGCCACGACAACCCCAATCTCGCCCAAGCCTCACGCAGCCTCTCGAAGCTGGTCCTCGAGAAGAGTCTGCGGACCAACGGCGGCGGCGGCGGCGGCGCCCCGGGACCGAACGTGACGTACACCAACATCGAGTCGGCGCCGTCGCTGGCGCACACGAAACGGTACTGCGACATCACGGGTCTACCAGCGCCGTACGTCGATCCTAAGACGCGGCTGCGTTATCACGACAAGGAGGTGTTCGGGTTGATCCGGTCCCTGCCGCAGGGCGCGGCTGAGCAGTACCTCGAGGCGCGCGGGGCGCATACCGTCCTCAAATAGAGTGGTTTACAGCCGTGCCGCATTACTGGTATGGGTGGTTGGGGGATGGCACCTACGACGAATGCTGCAGACCTGCGGTTGTTATGGTTCAGGCGTTTTAGGGATTGCATCTTTGCTATTACCAAGATATGGAGTCACGGTGGGAAAGGGGACAAGCATGCGTCCAGGAATGAATGCGTTTGAGTTGAAATACATACAAACTAGCTACGGGCTGGGAATGGAAACCATATACATGTGCGACCAACAAAGTCAAATCTCAACTATACAGCCCAGTGCCTTTCGGCATAGGGTGCTAGATGACACTCCGGCTTAATCGTGATCAGCTGGTTGTTCTCCGCCTGTGAATCGACAGATTACCGAGAACGTATGGGGAGACGATACTCAGTTGCCATAGCCTTTGAGGGCTGCGGCCGCCGCGGCAGAACTGCAAGCGCAGTTTGTCTTGTCACCTACCGTGTTTACAGACCAGACACTTGTTGATCCGAGTGGCAGTGCGGTAGCAGCACATATTGGTGTCTGCCAGCGCCAGTGTTGCTGCTTTGAATGTCGCCCACGCCGAACGTTGGACAGTAGAAACAACGAGTCCTTGAAGTCCCGTCTCGAATGAGACATTGCGGCAGCCAGGAGGATTTCTTCATCAAAGTCAAATCTTGTGTCCGGTATGACATCAGGGATTCTTCAGGGCAGAAGAAAAATGCGTAGCCCTCGACGCCTGGTCAATACACCAAACAAGACGCAACGGTAAGATGGTGCTTTTGCAAACCCGAAGTCTTGCAAGCTATCCCATCTTGATGCAGGCGTTGTCGAACGCTCCATTGCCAATCGTAAATATGATGAGGACGGGGAAGAGGGGGACGATGTGCGAATTTTCCAATCGATGCGTGTTAAATCCGCCTTTGCGAAATCCCCACCGATCTACTCTAATTGGTCAATGTCCGGGCTGTTTGTTAGGTACCTTTTTTTATTTACTGCGCGACCAAGAGATCTGACGCGGCGTGGCAGGAGCAACAGCTGTAGGTAGCACTACAGCAGCAGTGGAAGCAAAGACCCCTGCTCGCGTGCCGAATCCCATGCCTCCTAACCCCTGGTGATCTGTTCTTTGTTTAACCAAAAAAAATTACATGTTTGCTCGCCCAAGACACTAATGCCGACCGATCTAGCAATTCCGCATATCTCGTTTTACTCCTACTTGATTTGCGATCCTCCGCCGCGCGTCCAAAGCGAACACGATTAGAGAGACATACCCCTAGACGTCCCGAACCGAAAGCCTCCCCGCAGTTCCTTATCCCTAACCCAAAGCCATCCAAGATGTCGTCAATGTGGATGTCCGATACCCAAAGTACGTTTCGCGCCGCTGAGCTTTACGACGACAACATCCGGTCACTCCTAGAGCTCTGCTTCTCTTGAGGGACTACAACTGACCGGTCTTGCAGAAATCGGAGTGATTTTTTGCTCCGGAGGTATGTTTGCGCCGTCCCAAAGCTCTGGCGCATAGAGCAGCAAAAGGACGAGACGAGAGTCCACCGGAGCTGACGCTGTCCTCTGCGCTTGACCAGGCGGTTTCTTCCTCATCGGCGGAGTGATGCTCTTCTTTGACCGAGCCATGTAAGCTGCTCCTCCAATCCCGATTCCTCCTGTGACGGCGCAGCTGACCGGTCTCCCTAGGCTCGCCATGGGAAATGTACGACACCCCTCCTTCGCCTTCCTGAAACGATGAGCATACAACATCCATCCGTCCTAGTGTAGATCACTAAAAGGCTAACTCTCGTCTGCGCAATCGCTAGATCCTCTTCCTTATCGGCCTGACGATTATCATCGGACCCCAGAAGACGCTGCTCTTCTTCGCGCGGAAACAAAAGGCAAAGGGCACGGCGGCCTTCTTCGCGGGGCTCGCCCTGATTCTGCTGCGGTGGCCCCTGATCGGCTTCTGTGTCGAGCTCTACGGCATCATGATCCTGTTCGGAGACTTCCTCGGCACCATCGCCGCGTTCGCGCGCAATATCCCAGTCATAGGGCCCTACATCGGGGCCGCGGTCGACCGGTCCGGGGTTGGACGGCGAAACGCCGAGCTCCCCGTGTAAAGCTCACGGGCAGTGCCTGGTCGGAGTTGGCGCCGCGGCGTATCAATTGTTTTGGGCACTCAGTGGCAGGCTATCGGGGTAGCGTGTAGTCAAGCTGTATGTATACCGCAACGGCGCAGCTTGAGTCGAGGGGTTTGGTATGGCGTGTACTGTATTCGATTGTGCGCTCAACAATGTTAGACGGGCGGCCTCAGCCGAAGCATGAGGTCGGACCACAAATAATGACTGAACGAAAGACGCTGGGACACGCTTGTTCTGACGCGGTACTCGGACATGGGAACGCACGCATGCTATGCAAAGCCTACATCTTTCGGATGCGGCCGTGGCCTGGCCAAGCCAAGAGTCGGCCATTGGTAACTATTGCTATTCTAGTGTTCTTCGATTCGTATGTCAAATCCTCGTTTGTGGGGGTGTTTGTGGGAGCGAGATGCCCAGCTTGCCTCGCACACAGTAACAAATCTCCAGGGATGCCTCGAAACATAAACCTTCCGTCTCCCTTTGCGCCAATCCGTTCCAAGCAGGTCGCCTAGTAGCCCACGCCGACGAGATAGTCTGCCAGCTTCTGCACCGCCTGCGTAGCGTTGCCGGCCTGCTGGGCCTCGCCGTGGTGGCCGAGGAGAACGGCCTGGGCGGATTTGGCAACGGCGATGCCCTCCTTGCCCTGTACAGCTCGATTAGCCTTATATGCGCTGTGCGGTGTGAATCCGGCATCAACCAACCTTGCGCGCGTAGATGGAGCCATCTTCGGCACGGGCCATGACGTATCTTTCGCCGCCAATGAAGAGACCATCGCCAAAGGCCTTGTCTGTGACGGCCTTGTCGCCCTTGACAATGTCTGCAATAACCTTCATCTCGGTAGCGGAGAGCTGCGATAGCGAAGGAATTAGTCAGCAGGGCTAGCATGTAAGGGCGACGGCAGAGAGTAGTGTCTGGATGATGAGGCTCAACGTACGGTGAAGCCAGTGGTGGACGCCCACGTGCTGTCGCCAGCAATGCTGATGATGGCGGCCTTGTCAACATGGCCAGTGCCAACCAAGCTACAATTCCCACATCAGCTTTCTGTCCGTGTACAATCAATCCATCGAGTTCTGCCCGAGACGGGCCGGAGAAGGAGTTGGTGCGAGTCTACCTTTGGTCAACGTAAGCTGTGATGAGATGGTTAGCTCTCTGCTCCCTGAAAGGTGGGGTTTTTTTTCTCAGGATGGCCTCTCCTGGAAGGGGGGGGGGAGCTGCCACCGCCGCATCGGCCACTGTCGGAAGGGGAGCTACACACCTTGCCACGACATTATGAGGTAAGTAGAAGAATAAGAGACTAATGCTCGCTGGTGCAAATCAAAGAGAAGGAGACAAGAAGCTTCTGCGTGTCGAAGGGTGTGTAAAGGCTCAAGCTTTGACGCGGTGTGGGATATGGGGGGGAGAGAGAGAGAGAGGTATAGTCGGTTTGTGACTGTTGATGTTTCTTGTTACTCTTCCTGCCTGACGTGCCCCTCCCAAGAAGATGCATCAATTTTTAGGTCCGGCGGGCCGGGCGGGGTATCGCGCTACCTGTCAAGAGGTCATTGCTGGTGCCAAAGTGGCGGTGCGGGGTACTTTCTTCACTGCTCCTTGAGACTAGGCTAGTACCTGTGTTTCTCGTTGCTTCCACTCTCGGCATATCTGCTTTGTCCTGAGAATCCACGGGTGTCATGCAGCAGCAGAAACGGCAGCAGCAAGATCTGCCTATTAAAACGCCGCTGGGCGATGCGAATAGGTATCTCACCATTTTTTGTTTTCAACTTCTTTCTTTCGTCATCGCAGACTCAGCCGCGCTCCCCGACAAACCGCCACGATGTCACTTTTCCCAACCAATCCACTCAAAGAGTCATTACCACCGTTCTCCATGATCAGCTGGGTCTCGCATCACCGCCTTTCGAGCCAGTACCTTGCCGACCGACAAATGCTTGTGTAGCTAAACTAGCGTCTGTCAGCAAGAGCATCGTCCAACTTGGGAACGCTGCCCCGCCAAAGACCCACGAGTGAATCACGTGATGGCGGGGTGACCGTGCGAGAAGCCGTTGAGACACAGTACATGTACATCGCTGTCGGTCGCTTCGGCCACGACGGGCCCCGTTCGTGGGAGCAACTGCGCCAAGCCTGCCCGCCAGACCCTCGAGCCCTGCATCCTAGTTTGCTCACCAATGCTGCTGCTGCTGCTTATTCAGCCTGCCAGAGGCAACATCAAAGAGATACGGCTACCAACGATGGGGGGGCTGTTCGTGAAGACGACTTCGGACTTCTCAATGAGGTTTTACCGTCTCTATGTAACTTGGTTTCGCTCGGTCATTCTTCCAACCTACTGGGTTATGGAACTGATCCGTTCTCGCCACGCTGGTCTTTACGCTGTAGTTGATCTACCAAAGGCTTAGAGCTTCCTAAATCAGATGACTGCTGGCCGTCATGCACTTTCGATCGACTGTGCAGGCATACCTAGACCACCAGAACGAGTCGTTCTCACACAAGCCTCTCTCGGGATGCTACACTGTCAATCGATCGTCGTCCGGGGCACCTAGGACTTTATAGCTGATCACTGGTGTCTCAACTTTACTCCGTCGCCCTGATCTCTCGTCGTCTCATTAGCAGCGCCTCACAGCAGATCTTCGTCCTTGGCAGACAGATCACTTGGCTCATTGACGAGGGGGAACGCTCACGACAGCAACCCTGAGAGGTGCTGGAGGGAAAGGAAAACCGCAAGGGGAAAAGGAAGGGCAAACCAAACAGCACTGGTCTTTTGCCATTGTTTTCGGTCGCTGCACGCCTAGCGCGGCCTAATTTTGTGCCTAGGCAGTCACTAAATCGACTTCCAACCACCCAGTTCAGGTCGTGCGAATTGCTCCTGCGAGTGAGTGGCTTGAAGACTGGCTACACGAATATCGCATCTGCACATTCAGGACCAAAGAAAAAGGATCCAAATGGTCACTTCAGACGAAGGACTTCGGACGTGGATTGCTATACATTCAACCGGGTTTGCCGTTCGACGAAAAAAGAAAACCCCCCCCTCCCCCCCCGCCCCCCCCCGGCATTGTGCTCACCTCCTGGCGCTCGGAGCTAAAATCAAGGGCCTATTTGGCTACGGCGTCTTCAGGGGCAACAGTTGATATTTTCTAAGAAACCATCCCATCGGCAAACAAGGTTCAGTCCCTTGTCGCCAATTGCAAGTAAAGCCGCGCCCACCGTTGATGCGGACTTTGCTGGCAGATTTGCAATCTTGAGACGATCATTCAGTTGTCGATCCCTGGTCGAGACAGTTGAAACTCCTTCGCTGAGCAGCCTCGCCGCAACTCCAATTCCCTCCTCTTGGCCACAATCCTACGTCTCGGCCCGTTCAGCCTTGCAGTGCAGAACTCCTTGATACACGGCGCTCCGTTGATGTCATCTGGACCCAGAATATCATTTGATAATATGTCTATCTCATGGATCGAGAGACACCGATTCGCTTGTTAGCGCTGGGCCCAAGCATTGCCCCCAGAAGCGAATAGCCTAAAAACCACAACGAAGTCCCCAGTATTCAGCGACGCCTAAGCATGGCTATTCGTGTTCCAGGGGGGGCTCTGTTTCAATACGACCCCATGTTATTGATGCGCCGGCCAGCGCGCCAATTCGAGCAGCAGGTCGCATACGATGGCAGCAGGGGCGTGTCGTGTTGCAGTCGGTGCACATTATGTTCGCAGTGTGATTGCATAGTCGTATACAGGGACGCAACGGGTTATTATGCCCATCGCACGAGACCAAGATAGACACCTGCAAGGTAACGGGCCCAACAAGCGGTGGGAACCGCGCCAGGAAAATTACAGCGACTAGTGCTCGGCGGGACGCGAGCAGGCAGAGCTTGTGTGAGAAGGTTATTTCCTTGAGCATTGCGCAGTGGTTGGTCGGATGCGGTGTAAGCGATAATGTCTCTGATCCTTTCATTTAACACCGGCCGGCCCGTTTGATGTCAGAGTGGGTGATCAAGAAATGCCCGAGCAGGGTTTTGTTGGCCAGCCAGCAGTGCGGAGGATCCGCGACTGCAACGTCGTGCTACTCTCATTCGCCGGCTACATCGACTGGGAGATTGAACTCCAAATGAAGCAATACTTCATCCCGTCGGCCGTTGGGCAGAACCTGGCAGCACCGGACAACAGAGCGGGGGCTTTCAAAGCCGATTCGGATGCCCGTCAACACAGGTACTCTTACGACGTGAAGTAACAGTTCAGACTGCATCAAAGCTGCGGCACTCTCCCCCAGAGTTGCGGACCGATTTTCACAGAGGGTGAGGCTTCATCAGCGCCGGGAGCAACGGGGGCGCGCATCCACGGCGAAAGGACCTGCGAATACCACAGGGGCGATCCTGAGGGAGCCGGGATATGCAAGCCTTCCATGGATATCCCGCCCACCAAGCACGGATGTAACCCTCCATCCTCTTCGTTGTATCCTTCTCGAATGCTTCCCCTTTGACTTCTCTGGCTATTACGCCGATCCTCTAACCGCAAGGTACAGAGAGACACGATGGGATGGGCTCATCTTACCTAGGGGCCAGGGGTGAAGGTCTGGCCAATTTGACTCCAGACCGCTCCTGAGGAGCTCCAGGATGGATATTGCTGGGTACCCGGCTGCGGCATTGGCGATGGGGTCATATCAGGCTGGCTTCGACTCGCACTATGGATACTCACTCATCAGTAGGCTTGACTTGCCGCCCCCTCCCTACCCCTTCCATCCTCCTCAGTCAGCCAAGAAGTTCACACCGCACGGCAGTGTCCGAACCGAATTGAGACCAACCAGAGTTTCTGGGTTTCTCGTTTTGCCATGAATCCATGCAGCTGACGACTCCGTTAATCATGCTTCGTCGCGTCCTTCCCTACAGTTCTCACTAGTCTGACACACGAAACCGTAAGACCTCCACTCAAATGCAGAGAATACGTGACTTGCTGTTCACAAACAACCAGGACCCTTGATCCACAGACCACCCCATGGACAGGATGTCGAGGTTCACCATCCTTGCGTTGATCAGCCCCTCCCCTAAAATATCCGTCCTATCAACCTCAAACAAGCGACAAAGCTGCGAGTCGCTGGGGGGTGGGCGGGAAAATGAAGGCTTCTGGGCTCTGAGTCGGCCCTGCGGAGGCGAAATCATAGGAAGTGATGTCGAACAAAGTCAGATTACACCCCCGGCTGGGTTCTCTCTTACTCTCTTCATACGGGCTTGGGGGAGTCTCTCTTTCGTCGGGTCTTCGGTCTCTTTTCGTTCCATCTAGGCTACTAAGAGTCTCTTCCTTCTTATACAAACAACTCACACACGCTCACTCATGCACTTTTGCCACCACGTTCAGGTGGTTGACAACCTTCTCCCCTCGATTGTTCGATACCTAACAATCAGTGTACTCGTCGTGCAAAGATTTCTCGTCATCCCTTATTGTCGGCCCCGATCGCCCCGCTCCAAGTCCTGGATAACCGACCCAGTTCTTGCTCTAAGCCCTGTCAACAAGGATCGGGCAGGCATTAGCGTTGTACGGATCTCCTCTGTACCATTGAAGGATCATGTCCAAATTGGTCAATCGTTCCAGATCAATGAAGAGCATGAGGATTGGAGAAGGGGCCCCTGGGGGCACGCCGCGCACGCACGGCCCAGAGTCCCTCGTCCTGGGATCGCCGGGTCTTGTGTCAAGTTTCCAACAGACCAAGAAAGACTCGGCAGTATCTCAAAACGAGGTCTTGCCCTTCTTCGTAGTGGATGCCGCTGCCGCCATTCAGACTCGTCACACATACAGCCATCGACCTCTGCCCACACCTCCTCGTTCCAAAGCATCATCGACCATGGCTGAGCGGCCTAGGACTAGCGGCGGCCCTTCGCCTCATAACTACAGAGCGGCCAGTTTTAAGAATTTTGATAAACGTGTCTCCAAGGATGACATGTATATCAGGCCTCACTCTGCGGCTCGAGGAGGGTATAAGTCTTATCACATCCCGATACGGGACAATCCAGCATCCCCGATAGAGAGTCCCGGTGACTTCTCTTACGACTACTCGCCAGCGCGCACGTTCACAGTCAGGACACAGACGCCGGACTCGATGGACAGCAACATGGGCACGATCGCAATAGGCATGGCGATAGGTAGTCCGACACACCCGCCACCCCAATTTTCGGCCTCGAGCGATTACGCGGCTTCGAGCGAGTTCCTGACAACATCCGTTTCCGCAACGAGAAGCGATTGGCAACCACAGTCATCCGGCATGAGCACAAGTATGATCACAGCCTCGCCAGAACCGCTGCAGGAGGCATCAGAAACCGCGCCTGCACCGAAGCAGAAGTCAGGAAGGTGGAAGTTGTTCGGGCGTTCCAAGAGCAAGAGACTGGCATCATCCCCCGTCACTATCTCCCAACCCATGAACCTTCAGCAATCATCAGCCAGCAGAACAGACTTTGAGAAGTCCCCGACGACTAACCAGGCCAGTGATTTGGGAAGGCGGGACACGGAGAGGAAGCCGGCAGACAGCAAACCGCCAATGCTGCGCTCACAAACAGCCGGTGCGACGGCCCCGCCAAGTCCGAAAGACTCGAAGGCTCCCAAACTTTTGAGCAGGATGGCGTCGACACGGTCAGTACGGAGTGTCAAGAAGTCGGATATCTCGGGACCAGTGCATGTGTCGATGGCAGTGCCGGCGATGCCGCCGAAGCCTTCGGCATCGCCAAAGCCTCCGGGTGGCTTCTTGGACGTTGAGATCCCCAGCATCAAAATGGAGCGTTACAGCGTCATGTTCGGCAATGTTTTGGGGCAGCCGCGAGAATCGCAAGCTACGACGTCTGGACAGCAAGCACCGCACACGTCGTCATCTCTTCTGGAGAGGCGGCAAGCCACGCTGGACAGATTGAAGACAATCAGCGACAAGGTTGCCAACGAAGAGAGAAGAAACAGGGATCGGGCAAAGGGCCGCAGAGCAACATCACCACAGCCGCCCGAGTCACCGGCGTTCTCGCTTTCGCTGTTCCCGGCCACTCCCTCACACTCAGCGAACAGGCCTCCGCAATCTCCCCGTTTCCGCTCGAACACCTCGCCCGCCTATACATCATCGACGCAAAGGGCTAAAGTCGAACTCGCAAGGACGCATCCCGAACACACGAGAAGGAAGACGCCGTCACCCGAGACGAGTGGTATCCGGCCCCGCCGGCCGCGGGAGCCTGCTGCGCACGAGGTCGTTGCCAGCCCCGAGCAATATTCCTTTGCCAACGATGACGAACCCGAAGAGATCCACCTGATGGAACAGCTGAAGCCGACAATCTACGAGCCTGCGTGGCAGATGATTACCCCGGCCGCATCGACCGCTCCCTCGAGCGCCGCGCCCAGCGCGAAGGACCATTCCCCCACGTCTGTGTCGCCTGCCCAGACGCATGTGACGAAGCCGTCTTTCGACGGCTCGGAGCCCGACGACGCCCTCCGCGCCGCCGTAGAGATCTCCATCGCGAGGCAGATCAGCATCTCCAGGCAGCAGCGCCAGATGCTCCGGCCCATAAAGCCCAACACCGTCCGCACCAGGAGTCCTGTGCCGCCCATCGCCGTCGGCAAGAACGAGCGGCTGTCGTCGACGAAGAGCTCCACGCCAACGCTCATCTACCCTGGGGAGACCTTTGAGCAGCAGATTGCGCAGAACCGCAAGAGCGAGCGCATCATTGTCGAGGACGAGTAGCTCCCGATGACACCACCGGATCCTCCGACGGAGCCTTTTTCTTTTGGACATATTTCTTTATACTTAGCTTTGTCCACTGGTTCGATGGCGGCCTGGCTTCGTCCATTTTTGGCCCTGGCCACTCTTTGTTTCTTCGACTACATTCTCGGCAGCCAGGCCCTCTTGTTTGTTCCCTTATTACGCATTCCCACCCTTTTTATCATATTATTCTGGGGGACCACGATTTGACGACTATGATTGGAGCGGGCGACGGCATGCTCTGGGGAGTACTAGCATATTTGTATGATTCAGTGTTGGAATCTATGTTTTGATTATCTCGAGGACAGAGGCATCAACTATCTGCATGCGAGCGAGGTTGTCTAGTTGGTTTTGGGAGCATCAGACAGGGCGAAAAGCAAGAAAGAAGCCCCCCCCCCTTTTTGCAAGCGAAACGACGGGGGGCTTATACCTTGCCAAGGGATCCGTGTTGGGGGGAGGCCAGTCTTCATTCATCTCATTTGTTGTCTATAGCATGGCCCCTAGAGGGTTCGAGTTTTCTGTATCGATACCACCCGTTGGAGAGGGGGAAACAGGGAGAAGGAGGCGCGGCGCGTTAATGGAGAGATTGGGGGAGAGCTGCAACAAAAAGATTCACCTGTCCTTCCTTCTCCTGCGTTTGTGTTTTATTATTATTTTGGTTTGGTTTGGCTTGTCTGATCTAACTAATGCATGGTCAACTCATCAGGGGCAGCGTAAAAAGAAGAAGAAAAGGGGACCCTTGGGAGGACCATGCTTCCTTTCGGATAATCTTAAAGCTTAAAGCGCACATCTTACACATCTGCCGAGCAATCTAGTCTTGGATCGCCTGCCGTGCCTGCTCGTCGAGTGAAGAAAATTGGATCGTGTAAGCCAGATGGGATATCATCGCATAGGACGGGCCTCACTCAGCGTCCGGACAATTGTTGTGAAGGGAAGCTTGGGAGCCGGGCGCGCACGCCGCGCAGGCTCCGCGCGGCTTGCGGACTCTTGACGAGGCCACGTCTGCCTGCCTGCCCCTCCCGGACGTTTTGCATTTCCCGCATGGTTGCAGGTCTGACAACAGAGAGCAGCGGTTGATTGTGTGACGTTCCCGGTCTGGACGCTAGAGTAGATAAGGCGATGCTGCAGCACCCAATCGCATTTGTCTTTTCCGCACCGGCACTGTCTTTGAGCAGTACCGGGCGACGTCGCCAGTAGCGGTTAGAGAGGGTTGTAGTCCCGGACGAAGGAGTCCGGGTAGTACAGCCTCCGTCAAGGCTGAGTCTTGGAAGTTGCAGGATTGTCGGTCAATTTGCCGTTCAATGTCTCACGCTCAATATGCCGGTAGGCCGTGTCTCAAATTGGAACAGTCTCTGCGAGGTTCACTACAGAAGAGTTGGATTAATCCTGAACCATCGTCTCCGTCACTACCCGAAAACATGGCCGCACGTTCGGGGTGGAATATATAAGCACACCCCTCCTCCTCCATGAAAAGAGATCTTCCTGCAAAAAGAGAAAACAAATTTCGTTCTTGCTTGCGAAAAAAAACAAAAAACAAACAAAGGCCTAGCGAGCGTGACCAGAGCGAGCGTTTATACTAAAACGGGTCCAAAGGGTCCAACGCCATACACGAAATGACCAAGTAAGGACATGAAGGTATTCGAGAGAGTCGGCTAGATTTACATGACGATGCAGCATGAGTTTTGCTTCTTTGCCTGTTCTGTAAGGGGGTCAGCTTCTGGGCGATAAGGCACGGGGCTTTTGGGAAACGACTTACGATAGAACATCTTGCTCTGGGAGCTCAGACCATCACTCTTGGCCACCAGGTCGTCAATCTTCTCGCCGCGCTCCAAGACGCTCTGGATAGTTTTGTGCAGCACGATCTTGGTCTCGTCGAGCTCCTTCTGGATCTTGAGGATCGAATCCGCTTGTTGAGGGTCTTGGTACTTGGTGAGGTACTCCTTAAGCTCGGGCAGGGCGAGCTTAGGCTCGCCCGTTGCCCACGTGGAGCGGGGATGCTTGGTGAGGAACTCGTCGACACTTGGAGGTTGGGTCAGTACATTATCCTACTCAGTTGAAAAGGAGATTCGGCGATTGGCCAGCGCTTGGACGTACACCTTGGAGAGCAGCTGGTGAGCGACTAGACTCGGGTATTGGTGGTCGGAAATGATGCTGCGAGGCAACTGTTAACACCAACTTTTGCAAACAGCGAGGCCCATCGACTTACACGCCACAGATACCCTCGCTTCTTCCTACGCAGTGAAAGGTGTTGTCGCCCTCCTCGATATCTTGCCTCTGGCCAGGGCGCGTCGACTCTGCGACCTTCTTAGAAAACAGAGTCATGAACTCGGCGTAGCTTCCTATACCACCGTCAGTTGCAGTTCAGTTGTGATGTACGTGTAGGCCCCGAGGGCGCGCTCCGCTCGAAGGAAAGAAAAGGAGCCTTTCTTGCGCGTCATGGTGAACTGACCCCTAGTGAATCGCGAGTATGCCGACAGCTCCATCTCGCTGCACAGCTCGACGGCGGGCTTGCTGTCATTGCGAAGGATCTATGCGACGCGCGAAAACGTCAGCAACTCGTGCGGATTGAAGCGCTGCAGCAACGGGCGTTCTTGTTTGCAAGCCCTCTGCTAGCCATATTGCGACGAAACGGGGGAGAAGGACGTACACCGATGTAGTGCAACTTCATTGTCTTGACCAAGTATGAACGTTAGCCGTTGTGGTCGTTTGTTCGCTATCAAAGCGGTCTGGGCGGGGGAGATCCGGCTGCGACTTACGGCGGATTTTTAGGGGAAGGCACGAGGGGTAGTGAGTGGCGTCCTCGATCGCAGGTTGTCGTCGTGGTTCGTAGAAAATGGAGCTGTTGAGGTCCGGATGGCAGTTCTGTTGTATCGTGGGCGGGGAGGGCAGGTCGTGGTGTTTTGTAGGAATTGAGATGAGAAATGGATAAAGGGGCCGTTCAAGTTGGAGGACGATGGCGAACGATTCGTCTCTGCGACGTCAAAGTGCCATTGGTACACTGGCCCTGGGGGCGGCGATACATCACATGCACCAGCCACCCACTACCTTGGAGGCCTGGTTCGGCGGACTGCCCATCCAGGCGGCAGAATACAGGTACCGACCTAGGGGGGTAATAGGTAACCAAGAGTATCCAAACCTACTTAGGTAATCCAAGTACCTCAAGGCATTGAGGTACCTACCTCTTTGCCGTCTGGGCACACCGCATCACCCCGCAAAATGGCTCTGCTATATGGTTTAGGTGTGTTACCGGGCGGGCCGGGCGCACCTAGGTGACCCTGCTTTACCTGCTGGAAGGGAGAATCAAGCATTGTGGCAATCCGTTTGGGTCTGTGTCCGTCCTCAGCTGTGGCGGTCAGTTCCGTGTGTGTCTGTGTAGTGTACCCGTATCCGTAAAAAAGGGGAGTGATAATGGACCCCGCCAAAGACGGACGTCATTGGGTGCGGGTGCGACGAAACTCCCACAATGCCAGCGATGATGACAGGGGAATGGCAGCTGCAGGAACGCCGCGCACTGTATGTACATTAGGTACTAACCTAGGTAGGCACATTCCTTTTCACCCCACCACCAGCCGCCAGCCGTGGCGACTCGGCTCGGTGAATGACTCCTCCAAGGCGCTAGTGAGCTTGATATTTCAACGTCACTGACGGGTTTATATAAGCGTCGGGGAAGCTCCAACCAACTGGATCCTGTACTCAAGCCGAATATCGAACCCTCTCAGTACCCGCAGGCAACCGCAAAATGGCGTCCGTCAATCTCGACAATGCAGAGGCCCAGTGGCGGGTCCAGTTCGAAGCCATGAAGACCGCCTTGGCTGGCCTGAAGCTCCCCTCAGAACCCCCCTCTGATGTGGACTTTGACGATGATTATGAGGGATACTCCTCTGGAAGCGGCGCACAGGACGTTTGGGACTTTATTTCTGATGACGAAGATGACGACTACAGCAGTGATCAGCTCGACGGTCACACTGCTACCAACGGAGATGCCCCCTACGGCGCTGCGTGGTTTGCTAGCAAGTGCTCGGGTGTAGCTGCGAAGAACGGCCTGGCCGACGATGTGTTCCAGAACCAAATCCTGAGCGTCTTGACATCTGGCCAGGGCGACGAGGAGCTTCAGTCTCAGCTTGCCGATCTTATCGGGTTCGACGACTTTGACTTCATCATCGAGCTGCTCGGTCATCGCACCAACATTGTGACGGCTGTTACGTCTCAGGGGTCTCAGGAACCGAAGGCGAGACTTCTTAGCAAGGCACAGCGCGAGGAGGCATTGCGACGACAGGACTACGAACACAAAAATGCATCGCTTGCGCCTGCCATGACCAGAGAGGTTCAATATCCCCATGTATACAAAGCATACAACGCCGGGAATTCCCTCAGTCACTCTGGAAAGAAATACGCTCTTCCGACGGGGAGCGAGAGACTCCAGTTCGACAAGTACGAGGAATACGCCATTCCAGCAGGAAAAAAGGGCGTCTTAGGCCCAGGCCAGAAGTTGGTCAAGATTTCAGAGATGGATGGTCTTTGTCGCGGCACCTTCAAGGGCTACAAGACTCTCAACCGTATGCAAAGCCTGGTGCACCCAGTGGCATACAGAACGAATGAGAACATGCTCATTTGTGCTCCTACCGGTGCTGTGAGTCACTACGTGGCTACGAGGGTCCTCACAAGATACTGATGTTCTGTCGTAGGGTAAAACGGATGCCGCCATGCTCACAATCCTGCAAACCATTGGTCACTACTGCACCCCCAATCCTATCGAAGACCCGACTGTCACGGACTTCGCCGTCGAAGCCCAAGATTTCAAAATCGTCTATGTTGCTCCGATGAAAGCCCTGGCGGCTGAAATTACCGAAAAGCTTGGCAAGCGACTGGCATGGCTGGGCATCAAATGCCGAGAGTTCACTGGAGATATGCACCTCACCAAGGCCGAGATCGTCCAAACCCAGATCATCGTTACCACCCCCGAGAAATGGGATGTGGTCACGAGAAAGGGAACCGGTGATACCGAGTTGGTGCAGAAGGTCCGTCTCCTCATCATTGATGAGGTTCACATGCTTCACGATGAGCGTGGTGCTGTCCTGGAATCGCTCGTCGCTAGAACTGAACGCCAAGTCGAGAGCACCCAATCGTTGATCCGTATCGTCGGTCTCAGTGCCACGCTTCCTAATTATGTGGACGTTGCCGACTTTCTCAAGGTTAACCGACATGCCGGCATGTTCTACTTCGACGCTTCTTTCCGTCCTGTCCCGCTGGAGCAGCACTTCATTGGTGTCAAGGGCAAAGCTGGGTCGAAGCAGTCCAAAGAAAACCTGGACCAAGTGGCTTTCGAAAAAGTCAGGGACATGCTCCAAAGAGGCCACCAAGTCATGGTCTTCGTCCACTCGAGAAGAGACACTCTCCTCACCGCCAAAATGCTCCACGAAAAGGCTATCGAGGACTTCTGCGTGGACCTGCTAGATCCCACTGGCCATCCCAATTACGAGAATGCAGTCCGAGACATGAAGCAGTCCAAGGCGCGTGACCTGCGGGAACTGATCCCAAAAGGATTGGGTGTTCACCACGCCGGTATGGCCCGCTCCGACAGGAACCTTATGGAAAGGCTCTTTGGTGAGGGTGTCATCAAAGTCCTCTGCTGTACGGCAACTCTTGCTTGGGGTGTGAACTTGCCCGCAGCCGCCGTCGTTATCAAGGGAACCCAAGTGTACAGTGCACAGGAGGGTAAATTTGTTGACCTCGGTATCCTCGACGTGCTGCAAATCTTTGGTCGTGCGGGTCGTCCCCAGTTCGAGGACACCGGTATTGGCATGATTTGCACCACGCAGGACAGGCTCCACCATTACCTGACGACTGTCACGGAACAGCAACCGATCGAGTCTAAGTTTTCCACGAAACTCGTGGACAATCTGAACGCTGAGATCGCACTGGGCACAGTCACCTCGATCCCTGAGGCTGTACAATGGATCGGATACTCGTACCTATTCGTACGTATGCAGAGGAGCCCCATGAGCTACGGCATCGAGTGGGCCGAGATCAGAGACGACCCTACGCTCGTCCAGAGACGGCGGCAGTTGGCCATCCAGGCAGCCCGCACTCTGCAACAAAGTCAGATGATTGTCTTTAACGAGGTGACTGAGGAGCTTCGCAGTAAGGACATTGGCCGCATTGCCAGCCAGTACTACATTCTACACACTAGTATCCAGATCTTCAACACCATGATGCGCCCTATGGCCACGGAAGCTGATATTCTCAAGATGATCAGCATGAGTGGAGAGTTTGACAACATCCAATCCAGGGATTCCGAAGAGAAAGAGCTCTCCCGCCTGAAACACGATGTTGTGCCTTGCGATGTCGATGGTGGCATCGATACACCCCAGGCAAAGACGAACATTTTGCTGCAGGCTTACATCTCGAGGGCTCAACCAGAAGATTTCGCGCTTGGAAACGATCTGAACTACGTTGCTCAGCAGGCTGGCCGTATCTGTAGAGCCCTGTTCATGATCGCCCTGAATAGGAGATGGGGTCACCAGTGCTTGGTTCTGCTTACCCTCGCCAAGTCCATTGAGAAGCGTATCTGGCCATTCCAGCATCCCCTGCACCAGTTTGATTTCCCCAAGTCCGTGTTCAACCAGCTTGACGCCAAGGAAAATCTGTCAATAGAAACGATGAGAGACATGGAGCCTGCGGAAATCGGCGCTCTCGTCCACAACCAGAGCGCTGGCAAGAAGATTTCCCATATCCTCAACAACTTTCCGACAGTCAGTGTCGAAGCCGAGATCGCTCCTCTCAACCGTGATGTTCTCCGCATCAAGCTTTTCATCGAGCCTGACTTCAGATGGAACGACCACATTCACGGAACGTCCGAGTCGTACTACATCTGGGTTGAGAACTCCGAGACGTCGGAGATCTACCATCACGAGTTCTTCATTCTCAATAGGAGGAAGCTTAACGACGATCACGAACTCAACTTCACCATCCCGCTTTCGGATCCCTTACCGACTCAAATTTATGTGCGAGCGGTCTCCGACCGATGGCTCGGTGCTGAGACGGTGACCCCCGTCTCCTTCCAGCATCTTATCCGCCCCGACACGGAGAGTGTCTACACCGACCTCCTAGACCTGCAACCGCTGCCCATTAGCGCGCTCAAGAACCCGGCGCTCGAGGAGATTTACGCCCAGCGGTTCCAGTTCTTCAACCCCATGCAGACGCAGATCTTCCACACTCTCTACCACACGCCTGCCAACGTTCTCCTCGGCTCTCCCACAGGCAGTGGCAAGACGGTCGCGGCAGAGCTGGCCATGTGGTGGGCTTTCAGGGAGAGACCGGGGTCCAAAGTGGTCTACATTGCGCCCATGAAAGCCCTTGTACGCGAGCGAGTGAAGGACTGGGGAGCGAGGCTGGCTCGGCCTCTAGGACTGAAGCTGGTCGAACTGACAGGTATGATTTGCGTGGCGCCGAGCCTGATCTTCCCACTGACGACGTCCCCTAGGTGACAACACTCCCGACACTCGCACGATCAAAGATGCCGACATCATCATCACCACGCCTGAGAAGTGGGACGGTATATCTCGTAGCTGGCAGACAAGAGGCTACGTGCGCCAAGTGAGCCTCGTCATCATTGACGAGATTCATCTGCTGGCCGGCGATCGTGGCCCGATTCTGGAAATCATCGTTTCTCGTACGTGCAAGCCGTCATCCTTGGCCGCCCGTGTCGCTGACCTCTTTAGGCATGAACTATATCGCGGCATCCATCAAGAACTCTGTACGCCTGCTCGGCATGTCGACGGCTTGCGCCAATGCCACTGACCTGGGTAACTGGCTCGGCGTCAAGGAGGGTCTGTTCAACTTCAGGCACTCCGTCCGCCCCGTCCCCCTGGAGCTCTACATCGACGGCTTCCCCGAAACCAGAGGCTTCTGCCCGTTGATGCAGTCCATGAACCGCCCGACTTTCCTGGCTGTCAAGACGCACAGCCCCGACAAGCCCGTCATCGTCTTCGTCCCCTCCCGAAGACAGACACGCTTGACTGCGAAGGACCTGATCAACTACTGTGGCATGGAAGACAACCCCCGCCGCTTCCTCCACATGGACGAAGACGACCTGCAACTCAACCTCGCCAGGGTCAAGGACGATGCCCTCAAGGAGGCCATCAGTTTCGGTATCGGGCTCCACCATGCCGGTCTCGTCGAGTCGGATCGACAACTGGCCGAGGAGCTCTTCCTGAACAACAAGATCCAGATCCTTGTCGCGACCAGCACCCTTGCCTGGGGTGTCAACTTGCCCGCCCACCTTGTCGTCGTCAAGGGCACGCAGTTCTACGACGCCAAGATCGAGGGCTACAAGGACATGGACCTCACCGACGTCCTCCAGATGCTGGGACGAGCGGGCCGGCCGCAGTTCGACAACTCGGGTGTGGCCCGCATCTTCACAAAGGACGCCAAGAAGGACTTTTACAAGCACTTTCTCCACACCGGCTTCCCCGTCGAGTCGTCCCTGCACACGGTGCTCGACAACCATCTGTGCGCCGAGGTCTCGGCCGAGACCATTGTGACGAAGCAGGACGCCCTGGACTACCTGACGTGGACTTTCTTCTTCCGCCGCCTGCACAAGAACCCGTCTTACTACGGCCTTGAGGTCTCGGCCGAGGAGCACAACAGCATCGCCGCGCAGACGCTGGCCAACGACTACATGATCGATATGATTGACAGGTCCCTCGACGAGCTCGCGCAGTCCAGCTGCGTCGAGGTCTTCCCCAATGGCGACGTCGACCCCACCCCGATGGGCAAGATCATGAGCTATTACTACCTCTCTCACTTGACCATCCGACACCTCGTCAAGCACGTCAAGGCTCAGGCCTCGTTCCTCAACGTACTCGCGTGGATGTCCCGCGCCACCGAGTACGACGAGCTCCCCGTCCGCCACAATGAGGACCTCATCAACGAGGAGCTCTCGCGCAACCTCCTCTTCCCAGGCAGCTCCTTCGGCCTCCCCATGTGGGACCCGCACGTCAAGGCCTTCCTCCTGCTGCAGGCGCACATGTCGCGCATCTCTCTCCCCATCACCGACTACGTCGGCGACCAGACCAGCGTCCTCGACCAGGCCATCCGTATCATCCAGGCCTCCATTGACGTCACCACCGAGCTAGGCCACCTGAGCACTTGCCTCGAGTTTATCAAGCTTCTGCAGTGCGTCAAGTCCGCCCGCTGGCCCACCGACCACCCCACCTCCATCCTCCCCGGTGTCGGCGTCGACACCCTCAAGTCGGACAAGTCCGACCTCGGCCTCGCCAAGATCGCCGCACTCGCCGCCTCCCCGGGCAGGGTCTCTAACCTGGCGAAGCAGCTCTCCATCCCGGCTCACCAGCAGCCCCGCTTCTCAAAGGCCGTCGCACAGCTCCCCAACCTCGCCGTCTCCGTCCCGGAGGCCACGGCGCTGTCCGTCGCCGTCGACCTGCGCCGCATGAACCCGCTGACGGAGCGCGACGCCCACGTCTACGCGCCCCGCTTCCCCAAGCCCCAGAACGAGGGCTGGTTCATCGTCCTCGCCGACCCGGCACGCGACGAGGTCATCGCCGTCAAGCGCGCCGGCTGGTCCCAGGGGCCCGGGCGGAGCGTCGCCGTCGGGTCCAAGCCGTCGGCCCGCGCCAGCCTCAAGGTCCCCGAGGCCGCGCAAGGCCGGAAGCTCGAGGTCATTGTCGTCAGCGACGCGTACATCGGGCTGGAGTACCGCGTTGACGTCGACGTCCCGTCGGCGCCCGTCGTGGACGACGACGTGGACAAGTCCAAGAAGGCGCAAGCGCAGCAGGGCGGCGGTAGCAGCGGCGGCAGCGGCGCTTCTCGGGCGTGAGAGGTGCGGAGTACATGTCAAATATGCAGATCTGGCGGAGCGTGGTTCAAGTTTGGTATTAGATGCGACCGAGGCAAGAGAGATGCTATGATGCGGATGAAGAAGGATGCTACATGCTGCGGCCTGCTGCTGCTGTTGGCGTTCTCCTTCGCCAAGGAAATGCTCCTCCTCCTCCTCCCCCTTTCCCCCCCCTTGAAACGGGAACCGTGTAAACCAGAATCAAATGAGAAAAGTTCCCACATCTACGGACGGGGCCTTTAAAAAAAAGAAAACGAAAACAATGAACAGTACCCTCTCGCGAGAGATTCTGCCCCCTTTCCATGTAAAAAAAAGAAAAAAAAAAGATGAAGGCTGACGAGGGCATCTTCACGATAGGGGGGAGGGGGCGCCACTCGTCAGCGAGATATGAGCACGCGTATGAAGAAAGAATGAAAACACAAAACAACCAAAGTCAAATCCCAAAGAAGCCAGAGAATAAAAAGAAAAGAAGAAGAAGAAGAAATACAGTCCCTTTCCATTGTGCCGTGATCCCGAAAAGAGTAGTTGCAGCTTCCCAAACAGGAAAATGAAAAAAATAAACGCCGTCGCACCATGCTGAGTTGTCTGTCCTAAAGAAAATGTGTCGTGTTCCGTGTTTCGCGTTCGTGTCGGGGGGAATGTTGTTGCCGTTAGCTGTTTGATTAGGTGTATGCTAGCGCCAGTCGAGCCGTCGTCGCCGACGCGTTGGTTTTCCCTTCCTATCTCTTCCCACCCCCTGTGTCTCCCCAATGCCGATGCTTCCTTCCATGCGCAAGAGGAATCCATAGAAAGATGAAAGCATGCGTCGTCGTCGTCGTCGTCGTCGTTGTCGTTCATCGAGGTATCCCATCATCTCGTACCGAAAAAAAATCCGATTCCATCAGTCCCGTCTGCTCATGGCATGCCGAACGCAACTATGGATAAAAAGGAGGGGACGGAAATAGATGTGCATGAAGTCCCCTCCAGCTCCCCTGCACGTTTCCCCTCTCTCAAGAGTTGCGTGCTTGGAAAATGTGAAAAACGCAGACCCAGAGACTCTCTCCCTGGTTCTAGTGTCGTCTCTCCCAAGGAACGAAATGAGTCTGGTGCCGCTCTCAACAGCACCTTCTCCTTGTCTTGCCGGCCGCCTCGTCGGTGTCCTGTTCCGTCCCGCCCTGCTCGACCGTAATCGCCGGCGAGAAGTTTGGCGAGAACAGCCAGCTCCGCCTGTCGCGACCGACGCGGAAGCTGCCCCTCGGGTTCATGCCGTCAAAGTAGCCGCCGTCCATGCCGGCCTCGTAGCCAGGCGTCCCCGGCGTGGCCATGGCCAGGAGCAGCGCCTGCTGCATCTTGCGGTTCTGCTCAACCAGCTTCCGCGTCACCACACGGAAAACCTCCTCGACGCCTTCGCCGCTCTCGGCGCTGATCTCGTGGCATGCGTCCCAGCCGACCTCCTGGCCCCAGAAGCCCGACGACCGCTTAGAGCTCGGGCTCCGCGGCTCCCCACCACCCCCGCCGAATGTGCTCGTGCTCTGGTGTACCTGGGACGATGACTGGCGTGGGTCGGAGGAAGAAAGGAGAGAAGGCATGCCGTTGGGGGTAGCGGTGGGCGGCGGCGTGGAGGCCTGCCCGGGGGCGAGGTTCTCAGCGACGTACGCTATGCAGCGCTCAAAGGGGACCTCGCGGCGGGAGGGGTCACGGGCGACCATGTCTGCTTTCGTACCTACGACGTGGAGGACAACGTCGCCGGGGAGATTACGGCGTAGTTCGGTGAGCCAGATCCCCATCTCGGTGAAGGACTGGGCGTCGGTGATGGAGTAGCAGAGGATGCAGGCGTTGGCGCCGCGGTAGTAGAGGCGGGAGATGGACCGGAAGCGTTCCTGACCGGCTGGGACAGGGGACGGTGGGTGTTAGTCAACGTTTGCGGTTACGGAAACAGGTAGACATCAAAAGGGTGCAACATACCGGTATCCCAGATCTGTAGGCGTACCATGGTGTCGGTATCGGTATCAACGACGCGCTTAGTCATGAAGCTCGCGCCGACGGTAGACGTCATCTGGGCCGGGTTGAAGGAGCCTTTGCAATAGCGCATGACTAGGCTCGTCTTGCCTACATTCTGGGAGCCGAGGACGACAATTTTGGCTTCGAGGGACGACATCCTTGTTCTATCTCGGAGAGAATGGGGTTATTGGGAGGGCGAGGAGGGTGAGGGGGAAGAGGGGAAAGAAGAAAGCGCGGGTTGCGCTCCTTTCGGAATGGTCGGTCGATCGGTCGGTCGGAATGCAGCCAGACGAACTTCAGTCGCTCCAAGGGGTTCGATGGTGATGCGACCGAGGGAGGCGGCAGCGTAGAGGGGGAGGGGGGAGGGTATATGGAATTCGGTGAGGGAGATAAAGGAAAAGCGAATGTCGGCGTGAATGGTAGTTTTTGTTGGAGAAATGGGGGAACACACTCGGACGGGAGTGGCTGTCGTCCTAATCCTCGATGGGGGAAAGCGACCTTTGCGACAATGTGGTTCCGAGATCAAGGTAAGACGACCGTTTGGTTTCGAGGCTCCCAGAAGGTGCGCGAGGCACGTAGTGATTGGGCGACGATGCGGCTGGCCCGTCTTCAGTAATACCTAAGGGGGTAGCGCCGTTGCGCATGGACAGCTCAATAGCCTTTTTTCCTTTTCTTTTTCCCTTCCTTCTTCTTGTTCTTTTTTAGGTGCGAGGTCCTCTTATTTCTTACAGAAAAACGATTGGATGTGCTGGATCTAAGCGTGGTCACCCGGCGTCAAGTCAAAAACGTAGGCAACCACGAGGTCAGTGATCGGCCGATGGGTACGCGTGTTTAGTGGCGGCGGCAGCGGTGGTGGAGGTGGTACGTGTAGTCGTGGTGGCGCGAATTTGTGACCAGTGCCCTGAGGAGGCCCCGAGGTAAGGTAAGCAGGAAAGATGGTGAGAAATTGTTGATGATGGACGCAAGAAGTCGCTGAAAAGAGGGAGAGCGATTCGGCTCCGAGGAAACGAGCGGCAGGGGACGGTGATGTGGGCGACGGTAGTGTTTTTTGTTGATGTTTTGATGTTTTTCTTTTTTCTTTCTTTTTTTCCCTTCTTTATTTTTATTTATTTTGGCGTTCCGGCTGCTTGTTTCCGTAACATAACATAGGGGGGATAAGAGGGGAGCATCATGGACGGGGAACGGGGAAAGATATGGAATCGGCTTTGTTTTGCGGGGCAGCGGACGCGTTGTCTTTGTCTTGCGCATGCATAGGAACTCGTTCGTTCACGCCTTCTTCTAAAGCACAAGAGAACGCGAACGTGGGTCTCGGAAGAGCTGCATCCTCTGTCCATCTCCCGTCTTCTCTTCGAGACTGACGGGCCGCCCGAGGTATCGGGTTAAGTATCTAGCCGACGTTTGGGTCTTTTACCAGTAGAGGCCGTGGGTTGGGATCATGGCTACAGCTCTTGCCCAGTCAGTAGTGCCAGGAGAGGAGAGACACAACATATGCGATCTGCTTCTGGTGACCCCAACGGTTCCTGGAGAATGCGGGTTGCACGTTAAAGATGGGACGGAACCTGGAAGGGATGCTTGCTGCATGCATGGACGGGAGGTCCGGCGTATCAGGTATCGACGAACAACTTAGCTTACCCATACAGAGTACTCGGTAGCTTACATAGCAATTAATGTAATGCACCTAGACTGGGAGAAGACCCAGTTCGATGTTGAACACGGGGACAGGGTCTCTCTCTGATATGGACGCGAAGGGGCTGTGGGGTGGGGGGCCTCGTTCAGCTTTCCAGACAGCGTCTTATCGCTGCATTTCAGAGATGGTCGCGTGGTGATGCCCCTTCTCCACCTTTTGGGCCCATAGATGCGTCATGTCGTCATCGCCCATCGGAGGCCGTTCCTGCGATGGCCACCCTCGAAACCTACAGCTGACCATTGAGACGAAGAGGACGAGACATGGTATGCTGCCACCCGGTACCCTGTGGGAGCGATAACATGCACCGCCAAACCCAATTGGACCGTCCTCGGCATCGCGTCCGATAAGCCATCAGTCAACCTTTCTCTCTGTCTTGTCAGCCTGCAAACTCAGTCAATAGGGTAGGTAGGTAGTTGGACACCTAGATACTGGGGTACGTATTATGTTTATTCTAGAAACCTTCTATTGTTTTGTTGAGTATCGGGCATGATGCGTTGTTTTTCTGACTAGGTATATCAAAAGCGTTATTGTGCACATGTGCAACCAACCTTAAGGGGGACTGCTGTGTCACCGTACCTGGCTGACTGCGACCTTGAGGGATAGTCTTAGATACGTACCTCAGGTTCCTTTCTGTCTTCTAACTCGCTACACGACTCTCACCACGCTATATTTCCAACTCTTGGAAGAAACCTGTTCGGGTCATTACAGGGGTCTGCTCCTCATTAATTGTATGTAAATGGGATGCTCTTTCAACTCTACCCTGCTAAACTTAGCCTCTACCATGCTTTCGGAAACGCCAATCTCAACGCCCAATAACAACCTCGCACATCGTCACACATGGAGTCACAGCTCGCACCTCAATCATGGGCATTAACACTTCTTGTTGTCTCGTCTCATCAGGCATACGTCTAAAGGATATCATGCTTTTTTGTCCAAATCAATCCCCCTTCCCCCCAAAACACCAGAAAATCGACGCCAACACCAGTGCAAAACAGGCTTTTCCCTTTTCTTTATATTCACAAGATTACGTGCACAGTCTTGGCGACGCTGGGCGTGCCCTGTGGTGTGGACACGAAGAGGTAGTAGTACCCGGGAAGTAGGATGCCGTAGTCGTTGGGCAGCGTGGCCGAGTACTCGTTACCGCTGACCGTGACGTTGAGCGGGACGCGGCGCTGGTCGCTGTTGACCGTGTGCGTGACGCTACCGGTGCGGATCAGCGTCGCCGTGCCCTGGCCCTCAATGCCCTCGACGGTGAACGTTAGTGTGGCCCCAGCCTTGACGGGATCCGCGCCGATGGCCGAGATCACAGGCCGCGCCGCCCGGCTGCCGTCCTCGTTGAACAGATAAGGTGGCTCAAAAATCTCGCCGTCAGAGTGGTCGACAGTCTTGTCGCAGCCGGCAGTCGAGTCGCCGGCATTCTGAACCCAGCACATACCGCCGCCGCCCGTGAAAACGGTTGCATCGGGCAGGAGGATCGATACGGAGTGGTAGTTTCGCGGGACAGCCATGGGCGCCATCTGCTTCCATTCCCTGGTCTCTGGGTTGAAGAGCTCGGCGACGAGGATGCCGTCTGTGTTGGTGAAGACCAAAGACTTACGCTGGCCACCCGTGACGAGAACCTGGCCATCAGGGAGCACCACAGCATTAGCAAACCCACGGGGGAATCCCATGTCGGCAACACGCTCAACCTTGGCCGGTGTGTCGGGCTCGCCGATGGTGGTGATGTGCGCGCGCTGGGTGGCAGGGCTGTCTGTGTAGTCAGAACTACCGCCAGCAGAAAAGATCTTGCCGGCAACGGCATCGTACATGACCCAGACGCCACACATGGCGTCGTCATCGTCACGAGTGGCGGCCTTGACGACGGTCCCGTTGCCCCGGATGCCGTACCAGTGCTGGTCCTTACTAGGGCCAGCCTGGAAGATACTACCGTTCTTCCATCCAAAGAGCCAGGCGTGGTTGTCCTCACGCCAGATGCCCTCGTGGTCGTTGGTCAGCATGGGCCCGACGTCAACGCCAGGGAGGTAGGTCCATGCGTTGGCGACAGGGTCGTACACCTCGCCGTTCTTGCCCATACGCTTGCCCGAGTAGGCACCTCCAATAGTGAAGACCTTGCCGTCAGAGAGGATGCACGAAGTCTGGTACCCGCGGGCAAGTGTCATGCTAGGGCCACGGGTAAATTCGTTGGTGACAGGATCGTAGATGCTGACAGTGTCAGCGTCAGAGCCTCCCTGGATCAGAATCCGGCCATCCTCAAGCTGTGAGATGCCCGGACAGAACATGTCGTGGTGCGTATTGGTGA